AGAGAGGGAGAGAGACAGAGAGGAAGATCTTCTGTCCGATGGCTCACTCCCCAAGTGGCTGCTACAGCTGGAGCTGAGCCATTTTGAAACCAGGAGCTCTTTCAGGTCTCCCACGCAGGTGCAGGGTCCCAAGGCTTTGGGCCATCCTTGACTGCTTTCCCAGGCCACAAGCAGGGAGCTGGATGGGAAGTGGGGTTGCCGGGATTGGAACTGGTGCCCATATGGGATCCTGGCGCATGTAAGGTGAGGACTTTAACCACTACGTTATCGTGCCAGGCCCAAGATTTAATTATTTTTACTGGAAAGGCATATATACAGAGACAAGGTGATACACAGAGAAAGATCTTCCATCCTCTGATTCACTCTCCAAGTGGTCACAAGTCAATCAGAGCTCAGCCAATCTGAAGGCAGGAGCCAGGAGCTTCTTCTGCGTTTCCCATTTGGATGCAGGGACCCAAGACCTTGGGCCATCCTTGACTGCTTTCCCAGGCCACAAGCAGGGAGCTGGATAGGAAGTGGAGCTGCTGGGATTAGAACCAGTGACCATATGAGATCCTGGCGCATTCAAGGTGAGGACTTTAGCCACTAGGCTATTGTGCAGGGCCCTGCATTTATTTTTAATATACATACATATATACATATAAGTACACACATTGCAGTGAGTCTGCTTGCTTTTTTTTTTTAAGATTTATTTATTTATTTGAAAGGCAGAGTGACAGAGAGAGGGGCTGGACATGGAAATAATGAGATCTTCCACCAGCTGTTTCACTCCCCAAATTGCCACAATGGCGAGGATTGGAGCAGGCTAAAGCCATGAGCCAGGACCTTCCACCAGGTTTCCTTTGTGGGTGTGAGGGCCCAAGGACTAGGGCCATCTTCTGCTGTTTTCTCAGACACAATTAAGAGGAAGTTGGATAGGAAGTCAAGAGCTGGTTCTGGAACTTACACTCAATACTGGTTGCTGAAGCCTCAGGCAATAGCTTTACTCATTAGGTCACAATCAGCCTCTTCAAGCTTGCTTTTGTTAAATTTAGTGCTGCCTGAAAACACAGGATGATTCAACATGCATTCAGGATGTAAGATCTGGCCTTGTTTTCAATTTTAAAGATTTTTTAAAAAATTTTATTGGATGGGCCCTGCGCGGTGGCGCAAGTGGTTAAAGGTCCTCGCCTTGCACACCCGGGATCCCATATGGACGCCGGTCCTAATCCCAGCAGCCCCGCTTCCCTTCCAGCTCCCTGCTTGTGGCCCAGGAAAGCAGTGGAGGACGGCCCAAAGCTTTGGGACCCTGCACCCGTGTGGGAGACCCGGAAGAGGCTCCTGGCTTCAGATCGGCATAGCATCAGCCGTTGCGCTCACTTGGGGAGTGAATCATCACATGGAAGATCTTCCTCTCTGTCTCTCCTCTCTGTATATCGCCTTTCCAATGAAAAAATAAAATAAATCTTAAAAAAAAAAATTTTTTTTTAATGGAAAGGCTAATCTGAAGCCCACACTATTGCACCGGGCCCAGTAATGAGCACAGTTTAAGACAGATATATGAGAACTAACAATTTCTCTAATTGTGTTTATTCAAACTATTTTAAAAGATTTATTGTTATTGGACAGGCAGATGAACAGAGAGAAGGAGATACAAAAATTTTCTGTCTGCTGGTTCGCTCTCCAAGTAGCCACAACGACAAGAGCTGAGCTGATCAGAAGACAGGAGGCAGGAGCTTCTTCTGGGTCTCCCCCAAATGCACGCAGGGTCCCAAGGCTTTGGGCCATCCTCTACTGCTTTCCTAGGGTGGACAGTGTAGCAACTGGGATACAAACTGGCACCCATTTGGGATCCTGATGTATGCAAGGCAACAATTTAGCCACTGAGTCATTGCACGGAGTCCTTGCTTTTAACAGTCAGGGTTGAGTGACCAGGTCACTGAAAACAGAGACAAGGATAAGAATACAATCTTTCTGGTTGACTGTCGAATTTTTCATGTACACCTTTCATAATCATCTCTGAATCTAAAAAAGAGATCAACTTCACTTCTAATCCCATGACCCATGTAACCATTTTTTTCTAAATATTTTCTTCAATGTTTCTCATTTTCTTATAGAAAGTAATGAGCACAATTTTTCAAAAGATTTATTTATTTTTCTATTGGAAAAGCAGATATACAGCGAAGAGGAGAGACAGAGAGGAAGATCTTCCATCTGATAATTACTCCCTAAGTGATCGCAACGGCTGGAGCTGTGCTGATCTGAAGCCTACGCTATTGCACCGGGCCCAGTACTGAGCACAATTTAAGACAGATATATGAGAACTAACAATTTCTCTAATTCTATTTATTCAAGCAAGTTTTTAAAGATTTATTTATTGTTTGGGCAGACAGATGAATAGAGAGAAGGAGAGACAAACATCTTCCATTACTGGTTCACTCCGCAAGTGACAGCAATGGCCAGAGCTGAGCTGATCCAAAGCCAGGAGCCAGCAGCTTCTTCCTCTTCCATGTGTGTAGAGGGCCTATAATTTGAGCGAGCCTCTGCTGTTTGCACAGGCACATTAGCAGGAAGCCGGACTGGAAGTGGAGCAGCCAGGACTCAAACCAGCACTCCTACAGGATGACAATGCTACAGGCCATTGTTTATCCCAACAGTACAGTGCTGGCCACTGCTCATGGTTCAAAAAAGCCTTGGGACCCTGAACCTGCATAGGAGACCTGGAAGAAGCACCTGCCTCCTGGCTTTGGATCGGCTCTGCTCTGGCTATTGTGGCTTTTCATTTAAGGGGATGTATAGTAATTGTGTAGTAGAGACTATCACATCCAGATGTGAGAATACAATGCAGTATGCATCTGTACTTCTAGACACAGATGGACTCCCAATGCAATAAGGCGAGGAAGTAGGTGTTTTAGCGGAGTAACGGGATGGGTTTCAGTCCCCCATAGGATCTTAACTAATCCCCAGAACGCCAGGCCTGGGGGGCCACCTGGGGAGGGAACAAGGCGGTTTCCACAGGTGTGTAAGTCCAACCGCTCTCCCAGAGAACCGTGGGCAACAGGCGGCCTTCCCGAGCACGGCGCCCGGCCCGCCGGGGCTGCGGCGGCGGCGGCGGCAGCGAGGTCTGTCCCTCCATTGCCCCCACATAGGCACGAGGCGCGGGGACCGGCACCGTCGGCACCCGCCGGGCCCGGGTCGGCTTCCAAGGCCCTTCCCGAAGCGTCGCGCCGCCGTCAGCAACGGGAAAATGAAAGCTAGTTGCCGTGAGGCCGCGGGGAGGGGTGAGATGCACTATTCTCTTCCCAAGGAAAAGGAGGAAAAGGCAGAACCGACTGCGGGCGGCAAAGGGGTGTGTGTGTGTGTGAGTGTGTGTGTGTGTGTGTGTGTGTATTTATGAGCGGGTGGCGGGGCGGCCCCGGGTTCAGTCGCCGGGAAGCCCCGCCCCGACGCTCTCCACCTCCTTCCCGGCCCGCCCTCTGGAGATGCTGCGGACTACATTTCCCTGAGACCCCCGCGGCACCGAGAGAGGCAGGCCCGCCAGCTCTCCGGCTCATCCCGAGCGCTAATTGGTCAGTTCCGAGCGAGGCGGGACCTGGCCCGGCCAATCGGCGCTAAGCTCGTTACGGCGGCGGAAGCAGCGGCCCCGGAGTGAGGGGTGGGGGGCAGAGTGCTAGCGCCCCGGCGGCGGTGGCGGCGGCGGCGGCGGCGGGTCCGGAGCCCGAGGACGTCGGTGCCGTCAGGCGCAGAGGGAGCGCCCGGGAACGAGCTCGAGGCGGCGCGGCGGCCCCTCGGCGCGGCCCCCTGGTAATGGCGGGACGGACACCGGGAGGGGAGGGGAGGCTGCGAGGGGGCGGGGCGGCCGCGCCGGGCTGCAGCGGCGTCCGTCCGTCCCCGGGGAAGGGCAGAGGGGCCCGGGCTCCCCGCGGCTCGGACGCTGGCGGGCAGTCGGGCGCCCGGGCCGCGCGCGGCGGTTGGGCCGGCGGCAGGGTCCGGGTGTCCCGGCGGGGACCAGGAGGGGCAGGGGAAGGAGAGGCGCCGGGAGGAGTGGGCTGGCCCGGGTCCGGGGGCGTGGCTGGCGGGGGCCTCGGCGGGGAGAACGGGGCGGCCCGGGCGGCGCGGCGGGCGGGCGGGCGGCCCGGGGAGTTTGGCTCCCGGAGCAGTTTAAAGTGACTCTCCACATCCGGGCCCTGCGCCCGCCGCTTTCAGACCCCGATCGGGGCGGGGCCTCCCGGCTCCCCGCCCCACCCCCGCTCACCCGTCTTGCCCTGCCATTGGCTCGCCCTCGAGAGGTCTGGGGGGCTGCCCCCTCAGCCAGGCTCGTACCCGATTGGTTGGAGGGCGGCGGGGCGGGTGGGGGCGGGTCCAGAACCCGCAGCCCGCTGCGGATTGGTGCTGGTCCTCCAGTGACGCGCCGGGCGTGAAGCCAATGGGCGGGCGGGCGAGGTAGGGGCCGATTCGGGGTGGGGGAGAGGACTGGGAGCCCCGCGGCGACCGAGTGGCGGGGCTGGGCTGGGCAGGGCTGAGCTGGACAGCGCAGCGGCGGATCCCGGACCGCTCCGGCAGCCAGGCACCTCCTCTCCGGTCCCGGTGCCCGGCGCCGCCCCCGGCATGGGCCCTCCTCGGCACCCCCAGGCCGGCGAGATGGAAGCGGGAGGGGCGGGCGGCGGGCGGCGGCTACAGGTAAAGAAGCTCTCCGCTCGTCCCCTGTCTTGGGGTCTGGGCAGGATGCTGCCCTCCTCCGCGATGGCGTGTCAGGCACTTCCAGGGTCTGAAGAGCTGCGTCCTTGGCGGCCTCGGGCGCGGAGGGGTGGGGTGGGGGCGGTGAGGGGTCCGTGTGGAGTGGGGCGGAGTTGCAGGCCGATCAGGGAGATTGACACAGCCTGACTCCCGGACGGGCGATTCTGGAGAAGGGGAGGGTCGCGGGTTTTCCTCCACTCCCCGGGCTTCGCGGGGGTCCGGGAAGGGAGAGGGGAAGGGAAGACCGTAAATGGAGGCCTTTGCAAGGAAAGCGCTGGAAGAATTCCTCTTGCCTTGTGCCGTGATGTGAGGTCTTTAATCTGTCCTTAGGGTTAGGGCTGCCCCCTTCTGAGCCTTCCGTTTGCATGCCTCCGTAGTAGTGTTCACCGTGTGTGCAGAGATCTGTCAGTGCTGGTAAAAGTTTACCCGTCCGTATTCGTTGTGGCCACACCTGTCCCGTGGTTGTTTTGCCAAATCCTACCATCAGTTTTCTTGGGAGAGCAGGCCACAGGTATCTGCACGGTGTCAGCAAGGTTGCTGCTGCTCTGGGGCCCCTGTGTGCCAAAAACTTAACCTGAGTTAGAGCATGTTGGCACTTCAAGCCGGCTTCAGCAAGCTGACAAACTGTCGTGTGAAAATTTTTTGAGATGCTTCTGGGGTTCTGAACACCTCTGACATATTGGTGTTGGATTCGTTTTTCCAAGAGCAGGTGCCATAGACCCCTTCCCAGGATGGGCGAGTTTGCCGGGGTGGAGTGTGGTGGAATCTGGCAGTAACCCCATGACTCTGCTGCAGGTGGAGATGAGTTCCCAACAGTTCCCGCGCTTGGGGACCCCCTCGACGGGGCTGAGCCAGGCCCCCTCGCAGATCGCCAGCAGTGCTTCTGCAGGACTCATCAGTCCAGCTGCTACAGGTGAGCTCGGGGGTCTGTGCTTAAAGATGAGCCAGTGGTTTCTGGGGTCTGAGTGTGTGCTGGTGTACTGAGCTAAACAAAAGGTACTTTACTATTCAGTTTGAAACAAACCCGATTTATGCCTTGTGTTTTCATCACTTCATTGACATGGACTAGAGTACAAATGTTTGGATTTTCCTTTAATTCACATTCAGGGCTATGAGCAGTAGTGCCCTGCAGGAGTCCAAAGATGTGTAAGGCAGAGAGTTTGCCTTTTAAGAGTTTTCTGTCTAACATAAGAGGTGTAAAAAGTATATGTGTGTGTGTGTGTGTGTGTGTGTGTGTGTGTGTATGTATGCAAAGGTATGGATACATATATAGCTAACTCACATACACACACATCAGCTGCTCTGGTTTGAATGGAATGTCTGTCACTGCCATCCATCCATCCATCCCTGAGGGGTGTGTGTGAGGAGGTGGTACTTTGGCCTGCAGGCAGTCTTTGGCAGTGTCACAGCCAGGGGGAGCTGCGGGCGGCTGACAGTAGAGGCTGCCAAGCCACTTCCAGTACCCTGTTCCCCTGCCCCACAGCGAAGTGTTGCCCTGTCCAGTGACAGGTGAGCAGTCCCTGCTGCTACGCTGTGTTCTCCATTTAGTAAATCGAAAGATGGCACTGCAGAGAGATAGCTCCCTTTCGGAAGCCCCCTGCCTTCACCGCCTGGTCCTGGCCTCCTATCTCCAGTGCGCCAAATGGTCCTGATCCTTGTGTCTGACGGGGAGGCTGTGGCCCTGTGGACTGGATCCACCTTGTGTCCCGCTGTCTTCTGTTAGGTATTAGGTGCTCTTGAGACTTCATTGTGCCCCCTGGCTGATGGGGCTGACCTTTCCTCAGTGAGTGACGAGAACTTCCCAAGTTTCATGGCATTGGAACTTTGCATGCTCTTTTCCTTTGACCGTAATCTTCCTTTCCTTGCTCAGTTTTCTGATTCACGTTCCTTGTGGCTTCATGTTTGCTGTCGTTGTCCCTGCGAAGTCTTTGCAGACTGGCACCTTTCCCCAGGATGATGGCCAGATGTTTGCCTTGAACCCTTTTGATGCGCTGCAGCTGCTGTCTGCAGGGGGAGGGGCAGTCACGGGGCGCAGTTTCTCGCAGAACCACTTCATGTCTTCCTGATCCTTAAGAACAATTTCTGGTAATATGAATTCATGGTAGGTTAATTTAAAGGAGCATATCTAACAATAATTTTGAACATCTATTTTCTTACAAGAAATGGTTTGTTTTGTTTAAAGATTTATTATAATAATAATAATTATTATTATTGGAAAGCTTTATGGAAAGGAGGGAGAGAAAAAGATTTTCCATCTATTGGTTCATTCCACAATTTGTGGCCACAACTGCCAGAGCTGAGCTGATCTGAAGCTAGGAGCCAGGAGCCTCCCCCAGGTCTCCCTATGTGGCTGCAGGGTCCTAAGCCTCTGGGCCGTCCTCTTGTGCTTTCCCAGGCTACAGGCAGAGCGCTGGATGGGAAGTAGAGCAGCTGGGACACAAACCAGCACCCATATAGTTCCTGGTACTTGTAAGGGGAGGATTTAGCCAATTGAGCCATTGTGCTGGATCCAAAATGGTTCTTTTTCTTTCTTTAAGTTTATTCGTTTTTTTGAAAAACAGAGTTACAAAGAGAAGAGCTCTTCTGTGCATTGGTTCTTTTCCCACATGGCTACCAGTGGCTGGGGCTGGACCAGGCCCAAGCTGAGAGCTCCATCCAGGTCTTCCAGTGTGGGTACAGGGGCCCACGTACCCAGACCATCTTTTGTTGCACATTAGCATGGTGCTGGATTAGACATAAAGTGTCAGGACCCAAGCCATATGGTACGCCAGTTTTACTGGTGGTAGCTTAACTTGCCAAGCCACAATGCTGGCCCTATACTGTTCATTTCAAAAACTGTTGATCTACAGTAACAGTCCTCAGGTTTTGTTTATAAAGAAAGCTTAGGTCAAAAGTGCCTGTAATTTTTCTTTGAAAAATCAGTATGTTTAGTTTTTCAGTTGCTCTTTAAAAGGTTAGCAGTTTGTATGTTTCAGTGTCTTTCTGTTTTATTGCTCATATCAGAAGAGATGATTTGGACTCCTAAACATTTGATCTCAGGAATGTGTTCAAACAGAAGAGGTATAGATCATAACCAGGTCTCTCTAACAGCTGCTTGCAGGATCTTTTTTAAATGAAAACAAACTGAAATGGAGATCTCCAAGTGTTTGGCAGACAATGAGAAATGAGTCAAAATTATCAGTAGTCCATTTTAATGAAGTTGTTAAAACAAAATAAGGTCTTCTTCGATGGTAAGGTTTGAGAAACACTGAAATCATTCATTTTCCTTGAAGATCTGAATGGAGAAATCTGGAGAAGACAGGAAGTTAAAAATCAGTAGCTAATGTAAAGACAGAAGTGAAACTGCCCTTACAGCCAGTGTGACATGTATGTAGACTAAAGAATCTTCAAAAAGCTGTTGTAACGCACAAATGAAATAATTAAGGTTGCAGAATACAAACTCTGTAAACAAATCAAGTATATATCTAGATACTAGTAAAGAAATTTGAAATGTTGTTTATAACAAAGTATTTGGAATGAGGGATAAATGTAACAAAATATGTTGAAGACCAGGTGTGAGAAAACTATGAAACACTGCTGGGAAAATTAAGGGCTGGTGCCATGGTATAACAAGTTAAACCCGCCACCTGTGGTGCCAGCATCCCCTCTGGGAAAGTGCAAAAGATGGCCTGGACCCTTCACCCACCTGGGAGACCCAGAAGGAGCTGCAGCATCCTGGCTCTGGACCAGCCCAGCTCCAGTGGTTGCAGCCACTTGGAGAGTAAACCAGCAGATGGAAAATCTTTCTGTTCTTCTCTCTGTCTCTCCCTCTCTCGTCTCTGTAAATCTTTCTTTCAAATAGAAATAAATAAATCTTTAAAGATAAATATTATTGGGAGAAATTTAAAAGCTAGGTAAATGAAAGTCATGAATTTGAAAACTAAGTATTTTCAAAATAATTTTACCGATGTCATCCCTAGATTCAAGAATTCTAGAATTCAAGATTTAAGATCTAGAATTCAAGGTTCTAGATTCTGATGAGATCAGAATTCCAGCTGACTAAGGACTGGTGCTGTGTTACAGTAGCTTAAACCTCTGCCTGCAGTGCTGGCATCCTCTGTGGGTGCTGGTTCAAATCACAGCGGTTCAACTTTTGATCCTGCTTCTTGCTAAAGCAACAAAGGATGGATGGCCCAACTCTGTAGGACCTCTGGACACGCATTGGAGACATGGATGAAGCTCCTGGATTCTGGCTTGTGGCCAGCTGGGAGTGAACCAGTGGGTGCAAGATCAATCTTTTTCTCTCTCTGACTCTACCTTTCTATTTCTTTCTTTCGTTCGTTCTTTCTTTTTTTGAAATTAAAATGTACACACAAAGAGAGATCTTCCATCCGCTGATTCATTCCCCAGTGGCCACAACATCTTAGAGCTGGGCCAACCTGAAGCCAGAAGCCACAAGTGTCTTCTGGGTTTCTCACTTGGTTACAGGGGCACAGACACTTAAGCCATCCTCACTGGTTTCTCAGGCCTTTAATAGGGAGCTGAATCAAAACTACAGTAGCTGGGACTGAACCCATATTCATATGGCTTAAGCCGCTGTGCCACACCATCAGACCCTGTAATTCTCCCTTTGAAAGTAAATGCAAGAATGCAAGTCTTTTTTTTTTTAATATACCAACTTGCATTATGTACTTTATTTTTGTTGTTGTTGTTTTTTAGATTTATTTATTTATTGGAAAGTCAGACATACAGAGTGGAGGAGAGACAGAGAGGAAGAACTTCCATTCGATGATTCACTCCCTGTAAATGCATCTTTAAAAAAAAATGTTACTCAGCAGTAAAATGGTCCAGTCTACCCAACATAGGTAGATCTCAAAAACATTATACTAAGGAAAGAAGCCAGATATGTAGCACCTTCCTTGGACTATGATTCTGTGCCCATGAAATGAAAAAGCTGGAGTGACAGAAAGCAGAACCATGTTTTCTAACAGATTAATGGGCAGGGGAGCGGACTCCGAGGGACAGGGATGAGCTAATGGGAGCGACTTGGACAAGTGGAAACTTCCACATGCGGATGTCTAGATAATTATGTTTATGCTGCTCTATGTTTCTGTGATGTTTCATCTAGTTTTACTCACAGAAGTAGTGAATTTTTTATATAAAATGTGTTGATTAAAAACATATAGAACAAAGAAAAAGAAAAAAAAAGCAGATGCAGATGTGTAGATACTTCAAGAAGTAAAACTTGGGCCTGGTGAAGTAGCTAGGGGCTAAAACCCTCACCTTAATGCACCTAGATTCCATATGGGCTCCAGAATGTGTCCGGGCTGCTCTGCTTCCAGTGCTGCTCCCTGCTTGTGGCCTGGGAAAGCACAAAAGGACGGCCCAAGGCTTTGTGACCCTGTTCTCACATGGGAGACTCAGGAGGCTTCTGGCTCCTGGTTCAGAGTGGTTCAGCTCCGTCCACTGTGGCCTCTTGGGGAGTGAACCAGCAGACGAGAAATCTTTCTCTCTGTCTCACCTTCTCTACAATCTGATTTTGCACGGACCCAGCAGTGTGGCCTATTGGCTAAAGTCCTCACCTTGAAAGTGCAGGGATCCCATATGGGCGCCGGTTCTAATCCCGGTGGCCCTACATGCTTGTGGCCTGGGAAAGCAGTGGAGGACGGCCCAGAGCCTTGGGACTCTGCACCCGCATGGGAGACCTGGAAGAGGATGATCTTGGCTCCTGGCTTCAGATCAGCACAGCTCTGGCAGTTGCGCTCACTTGGGGAGTGAATCATTGGGTGGAAGATCTTCCTCTCTGTCTCTCCTCCTCTCTGTATACCTTATTTTGTAATAAAAATAAAATAAATCTTTACCAAAAAATAAATCTTAAAAATAATGAATAAAACTATGAATTGCTTATTGTCGCAGGTGGAGGCCACCATAGAAATAGTAATCAGAGTATCAGTGCGATAGGAGGCACTGGGGAGAATGTGGAGCGGCTGGGCTGGACAGGGGACAGAATGCCTGAGGGAACCTTTTCACACTTTGTTGTAGCATTGACTTGTGCTTGCAGCTTACCCAGACCTCTGCTCCTAGCTATAGAGATACTTGTAATCATCAGGCTCTACTGTCAAAGTAGCTGCTTTTTGTATCTGAACTACACCTCAGTACAGTGGTTTTTATTTTTTTTTTTAATGATTTATTTCATTTTCATTGGAAAGTCAGTTATACAGAGAGGAAGAGAGACAGTGAGGAAGATCTTCCATCTGATGGTTCACTCCCCAAGTGAGCGCAACGGCTGGAGCTGAGCCAGTCTGAACCCAGGAGCCAGGAGCTTCTTCCAGGTCTCTCGCATGGGTGCAGGGTCCCAAGGCTTTGGGCGATCCTCGACTGCTTTCCCAGGCCACAAGCAGGGAGCTGGATGGGAAGCGGGGCCGCCAGGAATAGAACCGGCGCCCATATATGATCCTGGCGCATGCAAGGGTAGGACTTAAACCACTATGCTATCATGCCGGGTCCAGTACAATGGTTTTATAAACAAGGATTTGTAGGATTCTGAGTAACTCGAAAGGAAAGTTAATATGCAACATGAGAAGGTGTTCATCCAGGGTTTCCATGTCCAGAACTGTCTTCCTGGAAAGTCACTGGACAAGGTTGTTGAGAATGGCAAAAATTTGAAAAATATCTGAAGTCCCTCGATGATAAAGTGATTAAAAAAGCTCTAGTACATCTGTGTAGTAGAATACCAGTTAGCCTTTTTTTCTTTAAACATTTATTTTTATTACAAAGTCAGATATACACAGAGAAGGAGATATAGAGAGGAAGATCTTCTGTCCAATGATTCACTCACCAAGTGAGCTCAATGGCCGGTGCTGTGCCGATCCGGAGTCAGGAGCCAAGAACTTCCTCCAGGTCTCCCACATGGGTGCAGGATCCCAAGGCTTTGGGCCGTCCTCCACTGCTTTCCCAGGCCACAAGCAGGGAGCTGGATGGAAAGTGGGGCCACCGGGATTAGAACCGGTGCCCATATGGGATCCTGGCACATTCAAGGCAAGGACTTTAGCCACTAGACCTGCCAGACCCAAGTTAGCCTTTTTTTTTTTTTTTTAAAGATCATTGGAAAGGCGGAGAGACAGAGAGGAAGATCTTCCGTCCAATGATTCACTCCCCAAGTGAGCCCAACGGCCGATGCTATGCTGATCCAAAGCCAGGAGCCTCTTCCAGGTCTCCCACGCGGGTGCAGGGTCCCAAAGCTTTGGGCTGTCCTCGACTGCTTTCCTGGGCCTCAGGCAGGGAGCTGGATGGGAAGCGGGGCTGCCGGGATTAGAACCGGCGCCCATATGGGATCTCGGGCATGCAAGGTGAGGACCTTAACCACTTGCGCCACCGCGCCGGGCCCATAGCCTTTTTTTTTTTTAAAAAAAAGAACTATTAGGACAGAGTGATTGAGGGAGAGAAAAAGACAGAAAGTTGCCCTGCTGGTTCACTTCCCAGATCGCTGCAGTGGACCAGACTCCAGTTGGGAGTTTGGAAATCCATCTGGGTGACCAGATCCCAGGCGCTTGAACCATCTTCTGCTTTCTGGGCCCAGTTCACGGGGAATTGGATAGAAAGAGGAGCCTCCAGGACTCCCAGCAGCACTCAGTGTGGGATTTCGACCTGCCGGCCTAACTGTGCTGGTAAGCACAGTGCTAGCCTCTGCAAGATGACACAGAACAGACTCAGGAATTCTAGTCCTAGGTATATACTCAATAGAAATGGTACATATGTTCAGCAAAAGACAGGTACAAAATTATTACCCACACTATTTATAATAACAACAATAAAAATTCTGTAACAATAAAAATAAATTTGAGGTTCATTCACAAAAATTTCTAACAGTTAAATGGAATTATGCTTTAGAGATGCATATACATGTTTTTGGCTTTACTGAGAGTAAACTATCTATGGTAATATGAATGAATTTCAGAAGGAAGACCCAAAGAGTTATCTTCATTGTGAGACTATGAAGTTCAAAGTAGGCAGTACTGGAGGCCAGTACTGTTGTGTACTAAGTTAAGCTCCGTGGACAGCATCCTTGATGGGTGCTGATTCCTGGCCCAGCTGCTCCACTTCTGATCCAGCTCCCTGTTTAAGGCCTGGGAAAGCAGTGGAGAATGGCCCAAGTCCTTGGGACCCTGCACCACATGGGAGACCTGGAAGAAGCTTCAGGCTTTTGACTTCCACCTGGTCCAGCTCTGGCCATTGCTGCTATTTGGGGTATAAACCAGCTAATGCAAGATGCTGTCTCTCCTTCTCTCTATAAAATTGCCTTTCAAATCAAAACAATCGCTTTTTGAAGTAGCCACCACTGCCATACGGCATACTATTTTGAGGGTGGTGGGCATGCATAGCAGGGGTACCTGGGGGCGGAGCAGGGCGTTTCTGAGGGATCCCTGAGATTTTGTTTCTTGAGCCTGCACCGAGCTAGTGGATGCAGTGGTAAAAATCTACTGAGCTGCACAGGAGCATTAGTGTGCGCTCATCTTTATGAAAGTTGCACGGCAGTGAAAGGACACTGCATGTACCCCACTAAAAAGCCACCCCAAATTAAGGAGTGAATTTCTACAGTTTTAACAGAATGGTAACTTAGTACCTTTTGGGATAGATGTGCAGGCAGCTTTCTTTAAGGGTTTCTAAGTTTTCTGTCTAAAGTAAGTTTTATGTTTGGGTTCAGAAATGTGAGGGATGTGGTGAGTGGTTCGGTTGGGGTCAGCTGTGGCCCATATGGACAGCTTAGTGTGAGTGCCTGCCGCTTCACTGCTGATGTACACCTGGCCAGGAGTAGTAGCCTTCTCAGCTCCAGAAATATGGCTTGTGAGGACTAGGAAACAAAAATAGAAATGCTTTTCACTATACTAGTTTAATTTATTTTGTTTTTATTGGAAAGTCAGATATACAGAGAGGAAGATCTTCTGTCCGTTGATTCATTCTCCAAGTAACCGCAACGGCCAGAGCTGTGCTGATCTGAAGCCAGGAGCCCGGAACTTCTTCCAGGTCTCCCACGTGGGTGCAGGGTCCCAAGGTTTTGGGCCGTCCTCGACTGCTTTCCCAGGTCCCAAGCAGGGAGCTGGGTGGGAAGTGGAGCTGGCGGGATTAGAACCAGCGCCTGTATGGGATCCTGGGTGTTCAAGGCGAGGACTTTAGCTGCTAGGCCATCGCACCAGACCCGAAAATATTTTATTCTCTAATGCACTTGTAACTGTTTAAGCTCTTAGACAATTAGATCCTTTGTTCATGAGGAGGAAAAAGCCTCACTCCCCAGAATCAGTCCCACATTCCACAATTACAACCCCTGGGTCTGATTTCTCCCAGGAGATTCCAGTGCCCAAACTCTGTGTTCAGAAAATCTCATAAGAAGCGGTCAGGTTGTCAGCTCTTGTCGGTGCTGCTGCGTAGTGACCAAGACACGCTGTCTCCCTTCATGTCTTCCCCAGTCAATGACGAATCTGGGCGAGATGCTGAAGTCAGTGCCAGGGAGCACCTGGGTTCCGGCAACTCCCTGCAGTCCCGGGAAGAGAAGCAGGAGCCTGTTGTGGTAAGGCCCTATCCACAGGTGCAGATGTTGTCTACACATCATGCTGTCGCCTCGGCCACCCCTGTCGCAGTGACAGCTTCACCAGCACACCTGACGCCAGCCGTGCCACTCTCATTTTCGGAGGGACTCATGAAGGTAATGGAGAGGTTTAACATTTTACACTGATCCTCGGCTAGAGGTTGGCTGTTCTTTGTAACCATAGTCACAGAATCTAACCATAGTCACGTGTCCTGGGCTCGCGCTGTGTGCTTACTTTGTCACCTGTCAGCTCAGCGATCCTCCATCGCTCAGAACCCTGCAGCACCTAGCTTGTGCTTCTTGCAGATGCCATCGTGGGGTCTTTTTGACATCATTGTCATTCAACTGGGGGACATACTAAGTTTTTATCTTAACAGTGGCACTCTTCAAGGTTTGTTTTAGTAGCTGGCTAGTTTAGGAATGCCTGAGAGTGCTGTGTTACTTGTAACATGGGGTTATGTTTCTGTTGCCGGGAGTTTTGTTTACTTCTACCTTGGGAGGGAGGCAGCATTGTGTAGAAGCGAGGACAGGGGCTGGGAGTCACACAGATCTGGGCTGTATTCCCAGTTCTACTTGTTACTCTGTGTGACTTTAGACAAGTCCCTTAGCCTTTGTATACTTCCTCCTGCATGAAATGAACATGCTAATACTTCAGTGCCCACGCTGTGACGATGAGAGAACGGCCGTGTACGGCGGATGGCGACTTGCCTGGCCCTCCGCAGCTGTGATTTGTGAACCTTTAACTCTAGAGTGGAGTGCATCCCTCGGATGACGTATTGATGTGTTTTTATGGTTTTCTGTTTGCAGCCACCCCCGAAGCCCACCATGCCTAGCCGTCCTATTGCTCCTGCTCCACCTTCTACCTTGTCACTTCCCCCCAAGGTTCCAGGGCAGGTTACTGTTACCATGGAGAGTAGCATCCCTCAAGCTTCAGCCATTCCTGTGGCAACAATCAGTGGACAACAGGTGGTTTTTTTTCTCTTAATTTGCTGATTTTCCAATTGGGATGCCCAACTGTCAACCCTTGTATATTGTATGTCAGCAGAATGTTAACAGACCCTGTCCTAAATTAAAAAATTAAACAGGTACTGATATATTCAAGCGCAAGATGGTAGGGTGGAGGGAGCAGAGGAGCTAAAGGAGTAGAAGCCTGTGTTCCTAATGGTGGTTGGGTCAGTATTTATTCTCTGTAGGAAAGGCGGAGAGGCAGTGATGAGCTCTCCCAGCCTCTGATTTACTGCCCGAATGCCTTGGTAACAGCTGGGGCTGGCTGAGGCCAGAACCAGGAACCCAGGGCTTATTCTAGATCTTCCATGTAATGGAAAGTTCATCTGCAGCTTCCTAGAATGCATGTTAGCCAGATCCGAGCTTGGGCCCAGTCACTGCAGTAGGGAGTGCGAGCGTCCCAGGCCACAGCAGCTGCTGTGATGGTGCTGCAGGGCCTGCCCTCAGTGTGGGGCACAGGTCTGGGCAAGGCAGCCTTGTCCTTCAGGAGCTTGAGGCCAATTTGTCCTTGGTCATTCAGCTAAAGGGGAGGGTCGTGCTCTGTGTCTTCTCAGGTGTGGGTTCCTGAGGTTACTGGTATAACTTCCTAAGGCCTCTGTGCTTCTGAGCACGGACTCTGATACCTCCTGTTTCATCGTTTGCTGAAATGTTATAATCCTGCTATATTGTGTGTATTTGATACATGGCATCAATCCTAAATTAAATCAAATTTAAATTAATGGAAACAGAACTAAATCTCAAACTCTTTCTTTTCATGACTTCAAGAAAAATTAACTCTAAAAATAGGCTCTGTGTGTTGAGTACTCCTGAAAGTAGGAATGTGTGAGGAATGAACTAAAAACTGGCAGGGTAGTAGCTGTGACACCAGCCAGCGTGTACTTAGAAGACTGTCCCTAGAGAATGGACAGACACAATGGCAGGCAAAGGAAATAGGATGAAACGAAAGTAGGCATTTGGCCACAATGTGGAATACATGCATGAAAGGCTAGTAAGTTTCAGGTGAGGGTTTCTGAAAGTAAGCAGCCTATGCGGCTTCTGTTGTGGGATCCAGCAGCTTGGTAGGCCTGGGCAGATGGGGTCCTCCCAGCTGTGTGGCTTCTCCCAGTTGCTTCTCTCACGGCTGTTGGCATATAGTGTGCTGTGTGAGAAAGCTTAAAAGCCATGTCCTCAGCCATCCCCTTGGGGTACTCCCCATCTGAAAGGAATGACGGGACCCATATTTGGAAACCCCTGACTTCCCAGAAGCTATGATTAACAGCTAGCATGTGGAAGTAATATTGCATCTTGTTTCTTTCAGGGACATCCCAGTAACCTGCACCACATCATGACCACAAATGTACAGATGTCCATCATTCGCAGCAATGCTCCCGGGCCCCCTCTTCACATTGGAGCGTCTCATTTGCCTCGAGGTAAAGACTGCCCGTTTTGTTAACACATTTTAGGAAATAGGGTCAGAATCAATCAGCTTGGAATAGTACAGTTTGTTTCATGGTAAAAGGCGAAAGGCGAAAGATTTATACGATCTGAAGAGAAACCAGACTATTAGTTTGTTTCATGGTTTGCTAAGTGCTTATATTAATGTATGTGTTCAACCTTAAGCCGTTCAGTGCTTGAATTGAAGCGGGTCCCAGGTCTAACAGGGTTAAATTCTGTTCCTGCAAGCGTGGAGTTACCATTTGCCTTCTCAGTGGCACAGGGCAGGGAAAAAATGAGAACATTGTGAGCCTATAAACTCTACTGAGGATATTTTTTTCAGGTGCTGCTGCTGCTGCCGTGATGTCCAGTTCCAAAGTAACCACGGTCCTGAGGCCCACTTCACAGTTGCCAAATGCTGCCACAGCCCAGCCAGCAGTGCAGCATATCATTCACCAACCGATCCAGGCATGTCAAGGGTGGGAGTGCTTGGCCCACAAGCAGAGGGTGCCTCATCAGGGGCATTGCCTCTGCCAGGCAGGGGACAGTCAGTCTAGTTGCCAGACATTCAAGTTTGATAGAACAGCAGTGCTTGGTGTGAGCTGTGGACCAGAGGAGAAGTAGCAAGGGGAGGCTTTGGTTGGAATGGGTGTGGAATGGGGATTCCAAGAAGCAAAAAGAAGGAAGAGGGAGTGAGTGTTGTGGACAGTGTGAGTCAGGGCTTGCAAGAGTGAGAGCGATTTTAGTTTGCATAGGAATCTGTAAACTCTAAGTTTCTGTGTGTATACACACACGTATATAAAAGATGCTGTTCCAGGAAGTTGGTTCATGCCTTCTGACTTTTTTTTTTTTTTGAGGAAATGTGTGGCATCAGTACTACTGAAATATACTAATTAGGATACAGTGTGTTATCTGTAAGGAAGAACTCCGAGGTGGAGTTTGTAGACAGTAGATCTGAGTTTGTAGATAGTAGAGGAGCACTGAAGTCTTCTTAGTATTGTAGGAGTAACGATCACCTTAGTTAAGCTGAATGGGCAGGTGGAAATTCAGATGCTATGGGGAATCAGAAAGATGATATCTACCATGCAGCATAGTTTCAAACGATAAGGAAGAGTGCTGATCAGAACACTGGGCAGTACATTTCTGGTTTCTAGTTTTCTTTTTTTCACCTATTTATTTATTTTAGAGATTATTTACATAGTTGAGAGGGATTCGTGCCCATGTGTGCCTCCATTTAGGGTGGGGGAGGTCCGTTTGTTACTTTTTTTCTTCTGTGCTCACTGGAGGTGAAAAAGGAAAGAGGGGACCACTCCTTGCTGTCAAACTACAGGAGCAGCCAGGAGTGGGGGTGGTCATGTGATGACACCTTAGAGATGTTGATGAGAGGAAAACGTTCCAAAGGTGTTACTTGAGTGCTTGTGATAGCTCTGAGATGTGAGCTTTGTTGCGCCAGTGTTGAGAAGATCTGTCCAAGGTCTATTTGCTTCGTGCACCTACAGACCCAGACTCTTGCTGGGCAACGAAGCTCTAGTGGAGGGAATTAGGCCTTTAAGCATAGGCATGGCTTATTTGAAGGGTGGGAGAAAAACAAGAACCCAGACAAGGACTTAGCAGTGGGGAAGCCAGTGCAGGCTTTCTAGTGTGAGACAAGCAGCTGTACGCAGTGGGAGGGAGATGGGAAGGCCTTTGGATAATTCCAAATATCTAATAACATCCTATCCAAAGAGGATTCCTTGATCAGTTGTTGAGACTGAGTACATCAGCCTGGAGGCTCATGTTTCAGATGACATGTTTAGTGTGTGCCTATTGTGTATTGTTTTGCTTTTGTTTCCAGTGAAAATGTATTCTCTGTTTTGGTAGTCTCGTCCACCCGTGACCACCTCCAATACCATCCCCCCAGCAGTGGTGGCAACCGTCTCGGCCACCAGAGCTCAGTCTCCAGTCATCACCACAACAGCTGCGCACGCCACCGACTCAGCACTGAGGTACGCGCGGGGCCACCTCCTTCCCCTCAGTCAGTACTTAGTCCTGGTACTAGTGTCTGGGTCGTGGGAATAGAAGAGGGAACAAAGCTCTGCCCTTGAGTCTGTTTTAGAGAGGCATTGTAGGCCAGGGTTTGGGCATTTTGGGGTTGTGCTGACTGCTGAGCGCCCAGACAAGAGAGGCGAGAGTGGATCTTTGAGGCTGCAGCACAGGAAGAGACTCGGGCCCTGCAGCAAGAGCGTGCAGGCAGGGAAGAGTTAGGAGAATGGAGTGGGAGGATTGCTCTCAGGGGCGAGCTCAGCTCTGTTAGGACAGGACAGGAAATGGAGAATTGGGGGGATTTCAGCAGAGGGTGAACCCTGAGTCCAGGTAATGTGCAAGGTGGGGTGTTTGAAGAGGGGAGACAGCACAACAGAGATCTACAGAGTCACGCAGGGATGGTCTTAGAGGATGGCTGTGGGTGTCTCACTCGTATCCTCAGGGAGAAAGACAGGAAGATGTCCAGTGGTGGACCTGTGGGCCAAGGATCAGCTCAGGCGCTCACAGAGTTGTGGTCCTTCTCGACTGCGCATTGGTCATGTGGATGTCAGGGAAAAGGAGCCATTGGCAGGGTGGTAAACGACAGGATTCACTGGGTTAAAGCAGATAGCCAGTGTGGAACGTGGAGCGCTGGGCAGCTAGAGGTCATCCTAGGGACCGGGATCAGCTGCTGAGGGACAGCTCTTCTGTCCTCATCTGACCCAGCAGAGAGGAAGCAACAGAAGGGAGGCTAAGTTTTGGGACACTGAATTTTTTGGTGAGTAACAGTGGAGTGGCAGTTTTGCGAGTAGGTAGTTGGAGAGATCTCAGCTGGCAATAAGCAGAATTAGGAGACCTCAGCATGCGGGCTCATGTAAAGCTGTGAGATGCAGCAAATCTACCCAAGGGCCATGGCTGGAGAGAACTCTGCAGAAGTTAGCGGTGCAGTAGAGCGGAGTGCCTAAACTTGTCTTAACTGCCGGCTCTGTCACCAGCCAGAGGTGAGACATAAGGCATGTTTTTGGTTTTCTGCTTCTTAGTCTCCAACAAAAGGGAGTGTTTAACTTTCTAGTAGTTAAACGTGTTGTCTGATGTGTAAAGACAAACAGCTACCCAACATAAAATAGGTGACGCGTTCATTTTAACTTCAAATTTCAACTTCAGAAGTTTGATATTTTTAAATCAATTGATGAAGCTTAAAAGGTGTTGGGTATTTTTAAAAATTAAATCAAAGTATTTTCCCAATAAAAAGTAGATCTTGAATTTCATTGAATACATTCTTGTGCAACAAAAATTGTGTGCTTCTCATGTCCTCAGCACTGGTATACACGCTAGAGATACAATAGCAAATTACACACCAAAACCCCTAGTAGATGGTGTTTGTACTCTGTCTGTAATCAAGGTAAATCCCAACACCAGACTGTCAAGTTCAGAAAGACCCTTTTCCGTAGAAACAATACGGAAGAAACCTTCGGAGCACAGCCCCCAGAGAGCACTACCCAAGCTGACTGAACGCTCAAAGCCAGGTGACCCAAACGTGGCAGCTTTGGCTGAGGATTCCAGGAAGGGTTAAGAGGGAAGTCTTCTCTTTGTTAAGTAACATTCAGTGAGATCTGTGGGTTTTTGTCTGTTTTCCACTATCATGACTTTAGTGAGTGAAATCTACCCTTTGTTAGTCTTCTTAAAGAGAGGATTATTTGAAAGGACCGATATTTTAAATTTTTGCTTGGCTCAGAGTCATTTCCCACATATCTTAATACAAGCAGCAGTAGTTTGATGATAAACATGTTTTTGCTTCTGTAATCATTCCATGAGTACTGTAAAGGTGTTTGTCCTTGTCTTCTGGAGCTGGATCATGCTAGTGAGGTGTCTGATGCCAGCCTGGTGTATGTTTTAATTTCTTGACCTTGGTCTTCTCACCCACTCACCCTCTGTGCATTTTGTGTTGTGTTACAGCACAACACAATTATTGATGGTGTGTTACAGCATTGGGACTGTGAAAACTTTTTGTGAAGTTTTATCTCTATTTATTTATATACACAATTTTTTTTTTTTTTTCATTTTATCGAGGAAGGGGTGCTTATCTCTGTACATAGTGGATCTTTTTTTGGCCTTTTTTTTCCCAGCAGTGTAACTAGAAGATGTATATGTTCTACTTTGTATATGTATATGTATATGTACATATACATAATATGTATATGTATTACTTTGTTCCCATATCTTCTCCATTGTTTCTTCCTTGTATTTACCCTTGTCCTTTCCTACGGTGCCGAGACTTGGCTTTTGGCTTAAGGATATTCTTTCCGTCTTTGTCCAGCACCACAGTGCTGGGGTAAATGCCCACGTGGACAGTTATGCTGTTGGCCTTTTCCCGCTGCACCTCCTCAGTGTAGATGATGTACTTCTTCCTATAAAGCTGGGCCACTTTGCTGCTTTGTAGTGTCCTCGCACAGCCTGCAGCTCGTTGTCCCTCCAGATGGGTAAGGACTGCATGTTGTGTTTCTGGCTCAGCTCCTTGGAAAGACCTTCCTGCAAATGCGCAAGGGGGCATCAAGATACTTTTTCTGGTTCTTGCTCTGGTTGGGAGTCAGGGATGGATTGAGCTTCATTTGGCCACTGCCAAGCCAGCGACTTGTTCTCCTTAGGTTCTACTCGGCTCTGTCTCTGTGCTTTTTCCAGCATCGTCTCCCTTGACCTGATCATATTTTCCATTTGTTCCAGGAACAACTCGGAAGTTGTCTTCTGTTTCCCTCTTCAGTACTGCTGTTTATCTGCTCTTCTGTTGTGATCGTTCTCACTGAGCTCTTGCGTGTTTGCTTATCATTTCATTTTATGAAGCAATTTCTTATCAAGTTTTAAAATTCCTGACATAGTTGTCATCTTCCTAGTGAGACTGTATCTTGTATATTCCCTCATTTTTTATAATTCTTCTTTGCATCTACTAAGAGCATTTTTTTTCAATGATTTATTGTTTTTGCAAAGTCAGATTTAGAGAGAGGAGGAGAGACAGAGAGGAAGATCTTCTGTCTGATGATTCACCCTGCAAGTCACTGCAACAGCTGGAGCTGAACCAGTCCGATGCTAGGAGCCCAGAGCTTCCTTAGCTCTCCCATGGGTGCAGGGTCATAAGGCCTTGGGCCATCCTTGACTGCTTTCTAAGGTCATAGGCATGGAGCTGGATGGGAAACAAGGCTGCTGGGACTAGAACCAGTGCCCATATGGGATCCTAGTGCATTCAAGGCGAGGAGTTTAACAGGCTCTGGGCCCTGTAGATCATTTCTAAATATTCATCTTTGGACTGAGTTTGTTCTGGATCAGCTGCTTGTAGTTCTTGTAGCCTGGGCTATATACTGGTTTAAGAGCAGTTTTCCAAATGATTTGGCATCCTTTGAGTTGTCTTGGCCATGCCGCTCTCCTACCAGTAAAGATGATCCATTGCAAACAGAGAATCCTCTCCTGGCCAGATGCAGCATCTCTCGAGCCATGTGATGTCTGGTTCAGCCCTGTGGTCTTTGATTCTTGGCCTTTGGAACTGGTCCACACTTGCCTTCTGGCTGGCCTCAAGCAAAGCACTTTGGTCTTCTGGGTGGATTGTGCTGCTGTCCGCTTTGGAGAGCTGTATTTTGTGTTTTCCTGGGTTTTATCCTGAAATGACAGCTCTAGGAACCCTCTGTCCTGTTTGGTTGTCACTCTTCAGCAGTTGTGCTTTCTGTTCTGTGGTGTCTCCTGGTCGTCCTTGTGACTGTTCTTGGAGAAGATAGCAAGCTGGCAGTTGCTGCCTGCAGTCAGCGAAGTCGCGTAAGGCAGGTGTTGCAGTGAGGACATCCGCAGCCCCTATCACAGTTGGCAGTTTAACTCAGCTGCTCTGCTTCTGGTGTAGCTTTGTGCTGATGCAGCCTAGGGGATAACAGACGATGCCGAGGTGCTTGGGCTCCTGCTTCCTCTCTGTGAGACATTGCTTGGAAAGCCATGCTTCTGGCTTCAGCCTGGCCTATCTCTGGTGTCTTCCAGCAGGTGGGAGGAGTTCTGCATTTCTTTTTCTCCCTCAGTTGTGCTGCTTTTCAAATAGAAGAAAATAAATTCATTCTAAAAAAGCATTTTAGGGGTTGGTGCAATGATGTATCATCATGTTCCTTCACCTTCAAGTGGCTTTCTGTTTCTGGCTTTGGCTCAACTTTTTTGGGAAGCCAGCCTGCAGATGAAAGATTCTGTCTTTCTCCCTTCTCCCTCTCCCTTCTATTCTCTCTGTAAATCTGCCTTTCAGATAAAAAAATCCAAAAACAAACAAACAAAAAAAAAAGATTAAAAAGCTGAAGAAGTCAAGCAAGAACTTGGCTGAACACTGGTTGTAAACCAAACTTGTGTTTTTTGTAGATGTCAAATTACTTGATCAAGTCTCTGTCATTGAAGTCATTTTAAGGCTGTAAGTGAAAAAGTAACGAAAAATGATCACTTTGACAAATATTGTGGTGTTTTCTGAGTAAGTTTTTGTTTTCTTTGAGGGTTTATTTCTTATTAGATAGGCAGAGTCACACACACACACACATAGAGAGAGAGAGAGAGAGAGAGAGAGAGAGATCTTCCAACTTCTGGTTCACTCCCCAAGTGGCTGGAGCTGGGCTGGTGGGAAGCCAGGAGCCAGGTTTCCCACATTAATGCAGAGTTGCAAGCCCTTTGGCCTTCCTCCTCTGCTTTTCCTAGGCCATTAATGGAGTTGGATGGGAAGTAGAGCTTCTGAAGGTTTAAACATCAGCAGCATGGGATGGCAGCAGCTTTGCCTGCTGTTCCCCAGCACTGGCCCCATGCCCTATTGTTAATCTGTGTGGCCTTTTTAGGAAAGGGATGTTGTCACTGATGAATCTTTATTTGTTTTTATTTAGTGTGTGATCCTTCCCCTTTACTTCCTGCAGTTGCCCTAAGCCGCTTCTGTGTCCTCCTGAATACTTTTCTTCATTCTGATCCCTTACGGTGTTTCAGGCTCACTTTCACTGTGCCTGCTTGTCCTCTCTTGAAATCAGCTGTTCCTCCAAGGACCCTTGTTTCCTTGGAGTGGTATTTAGGACCCCGTGTCTGGTTGTTACGGGTGTTCATTGTTTTTTCTGGTTACCTTTTTGGACCCGTGAAGATAATCAGGGCAGTCCTGGCCTCCTATGGGCGTTCCAAGTGAAATTTGGCATGTATTTTTCTTGCTTTGTTAGATCTTATACTTGTGTATCTTTTTTTTCTTTGTTTTGTAATAAAAACTCTGTTTCCTGAGGCTATTGCTGTAACTATTTTTTTTTTCATGCTATCACATGCAGAAGATAGTTTCAGAATAATAGTTGAAAGTCATGAACCCACTCATGGTGCACTAGCCTGCTTTCTGTAGCTAGCAGTAACTGTAAGGGCGCGTGAGCCCTCCTGAGTCCTGCTAAGAAGCATCGTGGGATGTGCTCAGAGTCGCTTTGATTCCTCTGAGGGCTATGTGGCGACATTTTTTTTCCTAACTTAAATTCCACATGTTTTTAAAATACAAAAGCATAGAGAGACATACAGTAAGACGCATCACTCTCTCCTTTGCCCTGCAAATACCATTTTCCCATATTTCCTTTTCCCTTCAATTCAGAAGTAATTTGGTATTAACTTTTTGCTTATCCTTCCAGGATTTCCTTATTATTACTTAATGCTGAAATACATTAACTATATATTTCATAGGCTTGAAATCCCTGCATAGTTTTTCATAATATTTTGCTGGAACTTACATATAACTTCCTTTGCATTTATTTATTTGAAAGACAAGAGTGGTGAAGCGGAAAGCAGGTGGCACTCAAGCCAGTGTTCCGACATGCACATGCCGGCATTGCGAGTGGTGTCTTAGCTCCTTCCACCACACTGCCAGCCCCTTGTGAGCTTTCTGAACATCCCTCAGGCATACAAGTTCATAATGTTTTATCCATCTAATGCAGGTTTTTAACAGATTTTTAAAAATTCTCGTCGTATGCTGTGGAGATGGTTCTAATCGGTACACAGCGCTCCTGTTGACTCATTCCTTTGCCTGACTGTGTTACATACACCCTGGTATGAAGATGCTGGTGGACATTTTGGCATGTGCTGTGGTGTATTTGTGATGGAATGTCCTTAAGTTCTGTTTGTTTAATTCAGAGTACGAAGTCAAAGAGTGAAAGGCTTGTGTCTTCGGTTAGAGAATGTCAGTGGTATTCCCCACCTCAGAGATCACCATAGGGTAACTATGTTGACAATGTAAAGCACTAAAAACATAGCTGACGTGGAATGTGCGTTATGTGGGTGTTATTAGAATTTATTTTCCACTGGGGTAAAGACCAAGACTGTTGTAGTATATTCTTTGAGGGGGCGGGGTGTTGTGTGACCTGGACCTCTTCAGAGAGCAGTACATGTTAAATTTGAAGAGCTTTTGTGGGTGATTCTATAACATTCTTTGCCACATGAATGTTTTTTTCGTGGATTCCTCTGTCCTGAGGCCTGTCACTAATTCAGCTATGTGTCCATACTTCTCTGCATGTCGGAAGGGGTGACCATCACAGCAGTGTGCCTGCTGCATCAGCCACTGAAGACCCAGGCCCCTGTAGCAGACTGCCTGGCCCGGGGAGACTACAGTTGCAGCTCGGCCTGGGTTTGCTGCTTTCCTTAGAACTTGATCAATCCACTCTGTAGCTCTCCGCATGGAGAAAGCCATCCTCTAATCACATTGTAAACTTTTTACTGATAAGTCAGCAGTTCTTTTTCATTTATTTATTTGAAAGGCTGTGTGTGTGTGTGTGTGTGTGTGTGTGTGTGTGTGTGTGTAGAGAGAGGCATTTCAGAGTGAACCAGCAAGCGGAAGTCTGATCTCTGTCTTTCTCCCCCAGCTGCTTTCTCTCCTTCCCTCCCTATTACTGTGCCTTTGAAATATATAAACATTGTGTTGTTGCTTTTTTTAAATAGACCAGTGGTGGCCACCGACCTGTGTTGAGAGTGGGCATTGTTTGTTAAGGGACCCTTTGAGTATTGATTGAACTGTCTGTGCATATCCTTTGCATAGTTGTGTGCTGGACTGTATTTTTCTGTATACTGTGGTTTCTCTTCATATCATATAAATCATTTGCCTTTTACTACAGACTTCTATGACTGTTATTTTTTCATTGATTTCTCACGTTCAGTGTATTAAGAAGGTTAAGTCCCCAAACTTTTCTTGTAGTGTACTTTGCCATCTAGTAGGGTTTTTTTTTTTCACATAATGAAATTTATTGCTATTTTTTTCTTTTGTAGCTTTTAGATTCTTTTGGGGTTTTTAAAAAGATTTATTTAATTTTATTGTGAAGTCAGATATATAGAGAGGAAGGTCTTCCATCTGTTGATTCACTCCCCAAATGGCCACGACAGCTATACCAGTCTGAAGCCGGGTGCCTCTTCCAGATCTCCCATGTAGGTGCAGGGTCCCAAGGCTTTGGGCCGTCCTTGACTGCTTTCCCAGGCCACAAGCAGGGAGCTGGATGGGAAGTGAGGCTGCCAGGATTAGAACCAGTGCATTTAAGGCAAGGACTTTAGCTGCTAGCTACCACGCCAGACTCTTGTAGCTTTTAGATTCTGAAAGCTTTTAGTGGTTAGACAGCTGCTCCTCACTGTAAGGCTAGAAATTAATTGTACCAACTTTTGTTCGTGTGTAATTGGAACTGCCTTTAATCCTCTCAGTATATATCCTCATGGGCTGAATGAGGTGTGATCCATCTGCATTCTCTCCAGGGCCATTTTAAACTTAATTTTTATTTCCCCTCCTGTTTAAAAGCGTTGTTACCGTGCAGCGTTGTCTAGCTAGTGATGTAATGGCAGTTGCTTGCTGCGGCTAAGCTTGGCAGGCTGTCTGTGTTGATGTCCTCTCTGTTAGTAAGCACTGACAGCTACTCCTTCCCCGCTGGGAGTGTTCTGGTGTCTGATGAGAAGTGATGTGGGAGTGGATTGTGAGCTGCACGAGGAGCACAGGTGGAGCTGCCATGAACGAACATCGTGTGTGCACTCCCCTCATGAGATGTGTTACCACGTCCCAAGGAGCTCTCTGGACACCTTCTGTTTGGGCATGCTGGATGGTGATGCTCACTCAGTACTGCTGCAGCTGCTGAGTACCGAGAGTCGCTTGTTAACGTGCCCAGCTTGGGACCTGCTGCGGTATCCAAAGAGACACTCAACTGGACGTTAAATTCACTGCTGGCATTAGGCCCAAGAATTGCTCAGAAGAAATACAGCTTGTGTCACTCTAATCTAACCCAAGATAGGAAATGGCCTTGACTCCCTACCAGGGCTGTGGACAAGTTACAGCGTCTTCTGTGTCCTTTCAGTCGGCCAACCCTGTCCATCCAGCACCCACCGTCCGCAGCCATTAGCATCCAGCGGCCTGCCCAGTCGCGGGACGTGACAACGCGGATCACCCTGCCATCGCACCCTGCACTAGGAACGCCGAAGCAACAGCTTCATACCATGGCACAGGTAAAACCAGAGATAAAGAGCTCCCCGTGCAACTTGGGGAGCAAACCCAGGCTGGACTTGCTAGGGATCTTGGCAGTAGAGAAAGGGATAAGTAGGTTGGGGGGTAGGAGAGAGTGTGCCTGCTCTTAGCTGTGCTATGGGGTTCCCCCCACAGAAGACCATCTTCAGCACTGGCACACCAGTGGCAGCAGCGACAGTGGCCCCGATCCTGGCAACTAACACCATTCCATCAACAACAGCAGCTGGTAAGTCAGTACCCTGCCCTGCCATGCCCCCGCTCTGGGACAAGAGGAAGAAATAATTCATTTTTCATTATTTAGTTTCAGAAAAAAACAGCAGGCTAGAAAAATTCTCTTCTCTTGTCCCAGGAGCTTTTCCCTCATGTCCAAGCACCTGTAACATGTGCAGAGAGCCATTGTTAACTAATTTCCGTTTTCTCCCCTTGTCAGGATCTGTGTCACACACACAAGCTCCCACGAGTACAATTGTCACCATGACAATGCCCTCCCATTCGTCGCATGCCACGGCTGTGACCACCTCCAACATCCCGGTTGGTAAGTGCTGTGCAGCGTGTCGTGGATGCCTGCAAGGAGTTTCAAGCCTCTGACCTAGCATCTGTAGCCGGTTGGGTGTCTTGTTGTAGATTTGCTAAACGGCACTGCACTTTCAAAATGACTTTGTTGCAAGGATTTGGCATTCTTTGGTAGGAAGGAGAGAGGATAACTATTTTTGAATGACCTGTACAGCTATTTTGTTTTGAAGTAAGTTCATTGCATGGACCAAACCAGGATTATCAGGTAAGGCAAGAAAAGCAAAGGTCTAGAATGCGGAGAAAGCTGTCTGCTCTACAGATTGTTAAGGCAGAATCCCCAGGTGATGCCGCCAGCAGGAAGGACACTGAAGCCCTAGTCAGGAGTGCTCAGTATCCATACCGAAGGTTCTTCTAGGCTTTGATTATAAGCGCCTGTGTTTTTTGAGGCTTAAAAAAAGTCTGTGAAAAGTTTCTGATAGGCACACTTCACTCAACAAGCGCAGAAGTGGACAGATGTTGTCTTTTTCCAGAAGATTTATTTATTCAAAGCAAAGAAAGAGACAAAGAGTGAAAGGTCTTCTGTTTTCTTTCATTCCCCAATTGGCCACTGAAACCGAGAGCCAGGAAGTCCAGCTGGGTCTCCCACACAAGTGACAGGGGCCTGAGTAGTTGATCCATCATTTGCTGCTTTCCCAGGTGCTTGAGCATGGAGCTGGATTGGAACTGGAGAAGCCAGGACTGAAACTGGTACAGCGATTCTGCTGTATATGCTGTTCCACAGTACCTGCTCTAGCACGCCTTTCCTCTGAGGCCAGGTGCTAGTGATTGCAGGATTGGCAGTCCATGCAGCTCTGTATTGCATTGCCCTGCCCTGCTGGCGCATCAACAAGACAGCCAAGGGCATGTACAAAGGTGTGCCTGGGTCTGTGAGGCTTTACTTAGGGGCAGGGAAAGTAGAATTATATATATATATATATTTTTTTTTTTTTTAATTATTATCATTATTTTTTTTTTCTTTTTCCATTGGAAAGGCAGACATACAGCGAGAAAGATCAGTCCACTAATTCATTCCCCAAGTGGCCACAACAGCCAAAGCTGAGCCAGTCCAGAGCCAGGAGCTTCCCCCAGGTCTCCAACGGGGGTGCAGGGTGCCAAAGCTTTGGGCCATCCCAGGGCACAGGCAGGGAGCTAGATGCGAAGTGGAGCAGCCAGGATACGAACCGGCGCCCATCTGGGATCCTGGCAGATGGAACGTGAGGGTCTAGCTTACTAGGCTACCATGCTTGGCCAAATTTCAAGATATTTTCATGTTTCTTAAAATACTCTTGATAGCTACCTATGCACATTTAAAATGTAAGCCTGCTTTTAGCTCATCAGCCAGCCAGGCACAGGCAACAGGCTAGATTTGGCTGCCTGATGCCAGTGCTGATTTTTTGGGGCAGATACCTTACTCCCACAGCTTCCAAAGCAGAGGCTGGAAGACAAACAGTGACTCTGGGGCCTGGCACGATAGTGTAGCGGCTAAAATCCTTGACTTATGGGCCGGTTTGTGTCCTGGCAGCCCTGTTTCCCATCCAGCTCCCTGCTTGTGGCTTGGAAAAGCGGCTGGGGACGGCCCAAGGCTTTTGGGCGCTGCATCTGCGTGAGAGACCTGGAGGAAGCTCCTGGCTCCTGGGTTCAGACTGGCTCACTGCCGACTGTTGCAGCCACTTGAGGAGTGAACTATCAGTCTGAAGCTCTTCCTCTTTGTCTCTCCTCCTCTTTGTGTATCTGCTTTTCCAATAAAGATAAATCTTTTAAAAGGGGGAGGGGGGTGACTGTAACCCGCAAGGTCTGAGTTTTCAGCGTCACCTCCACCTTGAGTCTGTAGCACTGAGCATATCCTCTTACTGTTTTCAACTCCCCAGATGGGGGCCGGCTGCCATGTTTTTAACACAGTGTGGTTTCTGGAAAACCTGTCAGAGTTGGGGCCTCCCTCTCCATTGGGACTCCCCCTTCCTTCCTACACAGATGGAGTAGGCTGCAGCTTCGCAGCCTGAGAGGGCACTCCTGTATGGTTTTAGAGACAGGCCAACTCCCTGCCAGGGTTCTGGGGCCCCCAAAGGCTTTCAGAGACGGAATTCTGCTGGCCACTGTGACTTCACTGGGATGAGTCATGTCACTCAGGCTTAAGTTCACTTTTGTGAAGAGAAGTTTTGTGTTTGTGTCTGTTTTGGCATGATCGTATCCCATCCCTAAGTGATCACATTGCATCAGTAAACTCACTGGAAGTACCTGGAGACTGAAGTGTTTATTCCCAAGTCCCATCAGCTGCATGTGCCTGGTTGGTTCTCTGATGTGCCAACCCAACACCTTAAGGACTCTAGAAATGGTACCTCAGTTCAGAAGGAAAACCTTTTAGAACCTTGTGTGTAGATTTTCAGGTTGGTATAGAGATACATTAGAATCAATTCAGTGACTTTTTTCCTTGAATTCAACCCTTATCACTGATGGGCAAGGTTGGGTCAGGGCAGGCATGCTTGGTTAATCACCAGCATAGCGTGCTTGCCTCTGCTAACTGCTCATTTCCAGTTGAAGACCATCCTTATCTACTTCCTGCTCCAGCCCCCACAGTGTCCTCGGTTACAGAAGGCAGAATCAGGTGAGGGCTTTATTCAGAAATTAAGGATTCTATTGAGATGCATTCTAGCAGACTTAGGCTTTCTGTGTTACATATTTTTTGGCTTTTAACTTAAAAATTTACAGTCCGTATTGTTGATTTTTAAGTAAAAAATTGTAAGACTAAAGATTGGAGTTATGGGCATTGTCTGGCTGCAGCAAATGGCAGCGTCATTCCCTGCTGGAGACATTACGTTCTGCACCTATCACAGTGAAAACACAGGCCACATGGCTTCCTACTAGTGTCCTGTCTTCTGACGTGCCTGGTGCTGCCTTCTCATGGCGTTGGTCAGTGAACGCCATCCTTCCTGATCAGATCGGGCATCCTGCAGCCATGTTGCAGCAGTGTCTTGAGCTGCCCCCCTTAGGTGGCTGAGCATGAGTGGCTTTTCCCAGCTCACACCCGCTCTGTACGTTGGCTCTTCAGGCTCGTGTGCCTGTCGTGGTGTACCTGGGTCTTCACGCTAATGGAAGCTGTCTCTGTGCTCCTCAGTGTATTCTCATACAGGCCATAGCTTTTCTTTTTTCTTTTTTTTTTTTAAGATTTATTTATTTTTATGACAAAGTCAGATATACAGAGAGGAGGAGAGGCAGAGAGGAAGATCTTCCATCCGATGATTCACTCCCCAAGTGAGCGCAACGGCCAGTGCTGCGCTGATCCGAAGCCCGGTACCAGGAACTTCTTTCCAGGTCTCACGCGGGTGCAGGGTCCCAAGGCCTAGGGCCGTCCTTGACTGCTTTCCCAGGCCACAAGCAGGGAGCTGGATGGGAAGTGGAGCTGCTGGGATTAGAACCGGCGCCCATATGGGATCCCGGTGCGTTCAAGGCAAGGACTTTAGCCACTAGGCCACACCGCCAGGCCCAGGCCATAGCTTTTCTTTTCAAGTCTCCAGATGTAGCTACAGTAAGTGAAGGGTGTACCCTCTAAACAAAATACGGTTGCAAAATATATGAAAAAAAAAAGTGAGCTTAAATCCTAAGATTGAATTTGTTACCCTTCAGGCATACTGACTTTGATATTGCTGTGACTTTATGCGCAGTCATGGGACTTCAAGTGGATTTTAGAAGTTGTTAAGTGGTAGCATCTTTATGGATAAGGAAACTGAGATTTGAAAAGTAAAATGATCTGTTTCTGATTAGGTCAGGGAATAGGATTTAAATTCTTTGCCATTTTTGTGTTGGGGTAAAAAACAAGGGTTTGGTTCTTAAAGGTCTCTAGGAAGCTAGGTTATGAAGAAGAAGTGGTTGCTGGTATTTTTGATTATTAATGTTGATCCCTGATTTTAACAAAAAGTATGAATGTATCAGAGGATTATTGAATTGAAATGCTTTAGTTGAACATTCTGCACTCATCTTTGATTCTATATTTTGATTACAACTAAAAATCAAGACTTATTTAGAGCTGTTTGCTTTCATAAGATCGCTGCTAGCCAAGACTGTTTTGGCCTGCCAGCAAATGTGTGTGAGCGGTGATATGCTTGGGTTTTGCCATTTGTAGCTAAGGTGGTGCCTCAGCAGATCACACACACGTCTCCTCGCATCCAGCCCGATTACCCTGCAGAGAGGAGCAGCCTGATTCCCATTTCAGGACACAGAGCCTCTCCAAACCCTGTGGCCATGGAAACTCGGAGTGATAACAGGTAGGAAGTGTGGGGCCCTGACCCTGCCAGCTGGTGTCATTCTTTGTTCTGTTTTCCAGGAAGATAAAGTGTCTCACAGATATGACATGTATTTGCTTATTCATATTTGCAGATTTTCTCCCTGAACATAATACGTTCTATGATTTTTCCTTTCATGTTGGAAGACATGGTGTTTTTTAACTAAGCCCTTCCCCTTTTGTTCAATGTGTACCTGGCATCCATATCTTGTTTTGTGTTTAGTTTTTTGTTTCTAAGGGTTGTAGCATCGTGACCTTTGTTCCTCAGTTTGTGACAGACATGCTCTCAAATGACCACATCCCAGGCATCAGAAGGGACTCAACCTTTCCGTTCTATTTTAGTCAGTCATCATGTTGAAGAGTCTAAGAAAACCAGTTGTTTTGTGGAATATTACTTTTTTTTTAGATTTATTTATTTATTTGAAAGATGTCTTTCTGCCATTTCATTCTCCAGATGGCCACAGTGGCCAGGGCCGGCAAGGCAGAGGCCAGGAATTTGTTCTGGATCTCCTATGTGAGTGCAGAGGCCCAGGCATTTGGACCATCCTTCACTGCTTTTCCAGGCCACAGAGAGCTGGATCACAAGTAAAGTAGTTGGGATACAGACCATCACCCATGTGCGACAACTGGTGGTGCAGGCAATAGCTGTTACCTGCTGCCCTACAACGCTGGCCCCCTAGGATGTTCTTCAACTTGGTTTGTTCTGTGTTTCTACTGGTTAAATTCACATTAGGGATTTCTGTAGAGATCCAGCTATTAGTGTGCTGTCTTTGCTGTTTTGGAATAATGCCCAACAATTTGGACTAACAATGAAATGTAGTGAGTGTTTTGTGCTTCCTTCCTCTGAGAAGGGAATTTTCTAGCAATGACAGTTTATCAAGTAAGAGAAAGACTTCCTTTCTCAGAATTTGCTGGCTATGTGATGCTTTTCATAGGTCTTCAGTGAATTTCCATTGTTGAGCACACACCTTCCTAATATCTCCTTACTTAGCAGTCTGGCCTGGATGAGAGGTGACCACTTGGGCTCCCTTGTGCAGAGTGGATGTTAGCTTTTGGAAGCCACATCATGCTTCAGCTACTGTGTTTCTGCACAAAAGGAGAGGTCTCCCTGTTGCTTACAAAGAGTGTGGTTCCTCAGAGGAACACAGTGATAACAGCTCTCGTCTCCAGGCCTGGCACCTGGCCTCCTCTTTTGTGGAGTGTTATTTGCTGGCTATCTTTCATGCTTTTCTAATATGAACTTACGGAATTCTTTCTTTTGTGGCTTTTCCATCTTTCATGGCTCTGGTTTCCAAACACAAAAGCTCAGTGCAAAACCTTCAGGGTCCCAGATGATGGCTTCTTACCTATACCTCAATGATGTGCTTATCAGAACATGCACTGCTGCGTTGGCCTTCACATCTGTCACGCAAATCCCGTTCTTTGTTACACAGTTATGTACATCTTCTAATGCTGTTATTTCTGTTTCTTCCTTCTCTCTGCGTCACTTTCTCCTCCAGAAGACACAGCACAGCGGCTGTAGAGGAGCCGAGCTTGTCCCATCCTCCTTGATTGACTGTTCATTTCCTTTGTCATGCAGTTCTATTTTCATCAGAGAGGGCTTCTAAAATTTGAAAGATCTGGTTTGCTTTTAAGATTTTTTTGAAAAAAGATATATTTTTTAATATGAAAGGCATATTCACATGAAGAAGGAAGAAGAAACAGATTTTCCATTCCTTGGTTTCTTCCTCAAAGGGTGACAGTAGCCAGAGCAGGGCCGATCTGAAGCCAGGGGCTTCTTCAGGTCTCCCATGTGGATGGTCCCAAGTATTTGAGCCATCTTTTGCTGCTTTCCCAGACGAACTAGCAAGGAGCTGTATTAAAAGTATCAGGCCCAGCATTGTAGCCTAATGATCATAGCCCTTGCCTTGAACGTGCCGGCATCCCAAATGGCACCAGTTCGTATCCCCACTGCTCCACTTCCCACCCAGCTCCCTGCCTGTGGCCTGGGAAAACAGTTGAGGATGACCCAAGGCCTTGAGACCCTGCACCCATGTGGGAGACCTGGAGGAAGTTCCTGGCTCCTGGCTTCAGATCAGCGCAGCTCTGACCATTGCGGCCACTTGGGGAGTGAGTCAGCCGATGGAAGATCTTCCTTGTCTGTCACCCTTCTCTCTATATATCTGCCTTTCCAACAAAATGTATAAATCTTTAAAAAAAAAAAAAAAAGAGTATCTGGAGCCCAGCATGATGGCTCAGTTGCTAAATCCTCACATTACACACATTAGGATCACATAAGGACAGCAGTGGCCTGGCTGCTTCACTTCCCGTCCAGCTCCCTGCTTACGGCTTGAGAAAGTGGTAGAGGATAACATAAAGCCTTGGGACCCTGAGGCCATATGGAAGACCTGGAAGAGGCTCCTGGCTCCTGGCTTCAGGTCAGCTCAGCTCCAGCTGTTACAGGCATTTGGGGAGTGAACCAACAGGTGGAAGACATTTCCATCTCTCCTTCTCTCTGTAAATCTGCCTTTCCAATAAAAATTAAATTATTTTGTTTTGAAAGATTTTTTTTATTCGAAAGACTAGTTCATTCCCCATGTGGCTGCAGCGACCAGAGCTGCGTCCTGGTCCTTGGGCTGCCGTCTGCCTTCCCAGAGCGTTAGCCAGCACTCCACTACACCACAGTGCTGGTGCATAAGAGAAATTTGTTTAAAGTTTTTTTCCTTCATTTGGATTTGGTCAGGGCAGTATTTTTGTTTATTTTATCTGAGAGAAAGACAATCTTCCATTTCCTGGTTTACTCCCATAGCCAGGGCCGTGTCAGGCCTAAGCCCAAGGTGTGGGGATGGTAGTGACCCAAGAATTTGAGCCATCATCTGCTGTGTCCCAGGGAATGCTTTAGTGCAAAGCTGTGTTGGGAGCAAAGTAGCCTGGGACTAGAACCAGACCCTCAAGCGCAGGCTCTGGTCATCCCAAGGAAGTGACTTAACTTGCCCCAGGAGTGGTGCTTTAAGGTCAGTTTTTAACCTTTTTCAGTTCTTTGTGAGTGATGTTGGGTTTGAACCCGTAGAGCATTGTAGTCAGTGGTTTCTCACTGTGCTCTTCACCCAGTGAGCCAGGAAGGACCAGGGAAAAGACAGAGCATGTTCTGTGTGCAGCCTGAGCACTACCTGGAATATTCTGCAAAGTCCTCTGGGTGATTTTTAAATATTGCTTTTACCGTTCTAATGCATGGAAATACTTAGAGGGTTTGCTATGTCTTGTGCTGATCCTGTGACTGAATATTCCTGTTGCTGCAGTGTTTCATGTCTGAGTAAGGAGAGTTGGGGTGGCAGAAGGTCTTTCTGTTTTCAATTTTATGCCTACTTTTCATACTTTTCTGGCTAGAGTTTCTAATTAAATGTTAGTAAATTAAAGATAGTGAATGGGAATTCATATTAAATTCTGTTATAGAGTTTGGCAGATAACATTTCAGTTTGAGAAACCAAGCTCCCATTTCTGTCTTGTTTAAGCATTTGCATCATGAATAAATACTGAGTGCCATTACGTATTTTGTGTACTTAGATATATATTGCATTTAGAGTAATTATTCCCAATTTTTAAAATATGATCTAGAAGATGAATAGGAATTCTGATACTGAATCATTTTTGTGTGTAACAAACTATTTGGTTATGGTATATTTCATTTTAAATGATGCCTGATGCACTGTATTTAGAGATTTTGTGTCAGTATAGAGTGATATTTGTTTGTAGTCTTCTCATACTTTGTCCTGTTTCAGTATTAAACTTAAAAAAAGTTGGATTTTGCTTCTTCTTCTTCTGGTCTCTGAATCAATTCGCAGGGAATTGGCATTGTCTGTTTCATGCATATTTGACAGTATTTGCCATTCAAAGCATTTGCTCTTAGCGGAACTGAGCAATGAAGACTTGATAACTAGGTAAATGTTATTATTAGAAACCGCCCATAAAATATCTTTGTATATTTATATATGTATGGGTATTTGTAACAGTTACTTGCTTTTTGTACAACAAAACAAATCTGTCTTTTGATTTGTTTGCAACACAATTTTGGGAGAGACCCTGCAGCAGTTACTTGATGTGAGGAGGAATATTTGACAGCCAAGATGCGATAACCACCTTATTTCATTTTGCTCCATCTCTAGACCTTCTGTTCCTGTCCAGTTCCAGTACTTCTTGCCAACTTACCCACCTTCTGCGTACCCACTGGCGGCGCACACCTACACCCCAATCACCAGTTCAGTGTCCACTATCCGACAGTATCCAGGTAGAAGCAAGTCAAACTTTTTAAATTACTTTGCATTTAAGTTTTTTGCCAGCAATGAGATACACATTGATCAGACATTATTTTTAGTGTTGTATTTACTTATTCTAGCTTCAGATAAAGCTAAAACATGAAGATTTTAAAGTGTTAAGTCACCAACTTTGTCATCTATTATAATACTGTATGTAAAGGTATTATTAGGGTAGTTGTATAACTTTGTCTCAGCCTGTGAATAATCATGTTAATTTTTGTTGCACCGTAAAAAATATGTACTCTCCAAATGGATAAGGCGGTACTGGTAGGTCTCTTGTTGCTTGTGAGATGTCTGCTGTGTTTTCAGTTTTAATGCAACTAGGTTCTCCTTTCACTATTCTTACTTAGAAGTAGTGTTCTTTGGCTGATCCAGACAGCAGTCTGCAAATCTCAGAAATTGCATTGTCTTTCCCTGTGGGACCCTCAGCTGATGTTGGGCAAAGCCCTTCTGCCACCAGCATCTTGTCATCACGCTTTGTCATTTTTAGTTTCAGCTCAGGCTCCAAACTCTGCCATCACAGCTCAGACTGGTGTTGGAGTGGCGTCCACAGTGCACCTCAATCCCATGCAGCTGATGACGGTGGACGCATCACATGCTCGACATATCCAGGGGATCCAGCCAGCACCCATCAGTACGCAGGGGATCCAGCCAGCACCCATTGGCACACCAGGGATCCAGCCAGCACCAATTGGCACACAGGGCATTCACTCAGCCACCCCAATCAGTACGCAAGGTCTTCAGCCTGCTCCCATGGGCACTCAGCAGCCACAGCCTGAAGGAAAGACCTCAGGTAATTTTAATTCTTATTTTGTCAAAGGTGGCACAGGGCGAGGAGACATTGACTGCTTTGGAGGTCTTGGGTAGTCTCTAGAGCGACCTGGAGTTACTTTGAGCTTAGCCTTTAGGGTCACTGTAAACATTCAGACTGCATGAGGATCTTAGTTGAGGGGGCACACTCACCTTACAGGAAGTGCTCTCATTCGTGTGGAGTTTTTCTTTAGATGCATGTGTAAGGTGTAAAATCTTAACCACGATGTTAGCTAAAGATGTCAGTACATTAAAAAAAAACTAAAATGATGGCATTATGGCAGAGCAGGTTAAGCCACCATTTGTGATACCTGCATTCTATATAAGGGTGCTGGTTCAGGTCCCATCTACTCTGCTTCCAGTCCACCGTCCTGCAAGTGTACCTGGGAAGCCAGCAGATTAGGACCAAGTACCTTGCAGCTTTGCAGTTGTAGATGGAATTCAGGCTCATGGCTTTGGCCTGGTCCAGCCACAGCTGTTGCAGCCATTTGGAGAGTGAGCCACTGGAATATAGATCTGTTTGTCACTTTGTGTTTCAAATAAAAACATCAATTTAATAAGTACTAATGGAATAGGCATTTTGAAAATGGGAATAAATCCTGCTTGGAGTGCTGATGAGCTGTCTGCTGTAGTTGAAAAGATGGCTCTTTCCTTAGCTGGGATGTTGATCCTCAGAATTCTGTATTGTGGCAGTGGGCATTCATCCTGACAGTCAAGACACTAGTCAGGAAGCCCTGTCCCACATCGCGGTGCCTGGATTTGAGTCCTGGTTCCAGGTCCTGACATGAGCTTCCTGACCTGGGTGGCTGCAGGGAGGGTTCCTGTGCCTGGGTTCCCCCACGTCACTTGTGAGAGACCTGCGTTGGCTTCCTGGCTCCTGACCCAGGCCTTTGCAGGCATGGGGAGAGCAGCCTCTTTCTCTCAAATAAATTAATTGTTAATAAAGTTTTTTTTTTAATGGGAATAATAATAATGGGAACATTATCATAGGTAATGAAAATGTAGTGAATATTTCGTCAAAACAAAGGTAAAGAAAGTTATTTTGGAAATTTTTACTCAAAGGAATGATAACCTGGAGCCCTGATTTGAATATTAAATGATATATTCATAAACTATAACATGATGTCCCTTATTATGTATATGCAGTTGTCATGTATCAGTAAAAAAAATAACTTTTTAGAAGATTTTATTGTCAGGGCAGAGTGACAGAAAAAAAACTGATTTTATATTCACTGGCTCACTCCCCATGACTCTAAAAGCCAGGGCTAGGCCAGGCCAAATCCAGAAGCCAAGGGCTTCTTCTTAATCTCTCATGTGGGTATAGGGTTCCAAAGCCTCAGACCGTACTCCCCTGCTTCCCAGGCCATTAGCAAGGAGCTGAATCGAAAGTGAAAACGTTGGAGCCAGGGTTGTGGTGTAATGGCATTAGCCACTGCCTGACATCCCAACTGCTTCACCTCTGACCCAGCTTCCTGCTAATGCACCTGGGAAGGCAGCAGAGGAAGACTTAAGTCCTTGGGCTTCTGCACCTACATGGCACACTCCGGCCTTGGCCTGGCCCAACTGTTGTGATCATGTAGGGAGGGAACCAGTGGTTGGAAAGAAAATCTTTATAGTTCTGTGACTTTGCCTTTCAGATGAATAAAATAAACCTTTAAGAAAAAAACAAGTGCAATGGTTGGAACACAAACATGCACATAAGGGATACCAGTATCACAGGTGGAGGCTTAGCACACTATGCCACAGTGCTTGTCCCAAAAATCCAATTCTAAAATATCTGTTTGAAAAGCAGAGCACAGAGGTGACAGGGATGCGGTGGAGTAGGGGTTGAAATCTTTTATTTCATCTGCTGGTTCACTTTCCAAATCTGCAATAGCCAGGTTTCTACCAAACCAGACCATTCAGGAGCCAGGAGTTCCATCTTGGCCTCACACATAATTGCGAGAGACCCAAGTATTTGGACCATCTTCCACTGCCCTCACTGGTCCATTAGCTGGGAGCTGAGTCAGAAGCAGAGCAACTAGAACTTAAGTGGACACTCAGTCATTGAATGGTGGCATTGCAGGCAGAGGCTTAATGCACTGCACCCACAACACTGACCCTAAAAGGAGAATTTTTAAAATTATTTTAAAAATAATGTTGACAAAAACTATGTAAGTAAAAACGTCAAAATACCTAGTAGAGTAAGGTGCTATGGTAGATGGTCTGTATACTAATATGTATGTATCCTCTTTCGACGGTAACTACTATTATGAAGTAAAAATGGTAGAATTGATTGTGTTTCCTGTGTATTTGGTCACCTCCCACTGTGTGCCATCTGTTTTCAGGGAGGTGAATGTCATTCTGCCCCTTCTCCTCCTCAGGTTGCACAGTTGCCTAATGCCAGTGGTCCGATCATCTTAGTGACATGTTTCTCTGTCTCTCCCCCTTCATTGTTCTCCCCTGCCTCCCTGTGCTTTTCCAGCAGTGGTCTTGGCAGATGGAGCTACAATTGTAGCCAACCCTATTAGCAATCCATTCAGTGCTGCTCCAGCAGCAACAACTGTGGTGCAGACCCACAGCCAGAGTGCTGGCACCAATGCTCCAGCCCAGGGCTCATCCCCCCGGCCAAGCATACTCCGGAAGAAGCCTGCTACCGACGGGTGAGTAGAGTACGTGGTGGCGAGTGGAGCCTCCGGTTCTGGTTGTAATTGTTACAGACAAGTGCTCAGTACAGGTGGAAAGCACATCCCTCAGTGGCATTTTAACGTTCCCTCCAAAGCCTTTTGACCACAGAGTTAGTAAGTAGAGCCTCTCCCAGCTCAGCCTGTCACTTACTAAGGATCCTCAGCTTCGTGCAGTATCAGTTTCTAAGGGACGCTGCTGCTCAGGAGTTTGCCGGGTTTAATCCTGTAACCGCTATAGCAGCTTATGGTGGACCTTTAAGGCTTTTCTATATAGTTAGCATTGGTGTACACTGTGTTTTCTTATCCAACTTGAATTACTGCTAGGGGAAACCTTTTCTGGTTTAAGACTCTTGCTTAGTTGCAGGTAGTATTCTGTATTGCCAGATCAGGCTCTCACTCAGCGCATCACAGAGGAGTTTTCGTGCTGTGCTGATACAAACATTCTGGAGGGGGAGATGACCAAAGTCCACGATGACAAGGCCAGGAGAGGAAGCACCAGTGACAACACTTGAGCTGGAAAGCTTGTGGGCTGTGAGAAAGCTAAATGTTAATCCTACGCAGCAGAAACTGGAGAACCATTCTCTTGTAAATCAAAGAATCTTCAGAAAGACTAAGAACAGATAGAAATGGGGGAAAGGAAGGCACCTGCTATCCTGGGGAGCTTGGGTAAAATCTGAGAAGTGGTTAACCCAGAGCTCAGAGCTGCTTCCACACCCATACTGTGGGGTGCTCAGCCTTGCTAACCCCAGCAGGAAGCTGGCATTTTAAGCTCTGTAGATGGTCCGTGAAGATCATCCAGCACAGTTGAGGGCAGGAGCAAACTAAAATAGATTAAGTCATCAGCCAAGTATGGATTGGCAAGACTTCCCATCTATTCCCTCTTTTTAACTGACAGAATCTGGGCAGCCTTTACAGTTTGAATTCTGTAAATGGGAAGTGAAGACAACTTTACTTCGGAACAGTCAAGACACTGACAGATGAAGGCATTTGGCATAGCTTTTTTTTTTTTTTAAGATTTATTTATTTTTATTGGGAAGTCAGATTTATATCGAGAAGGGGAAAGAAGAGGGAAAGATCTTCCATCTGCTGGTTCACTCCCCAAGTGGCTCCAGTGGCTGGAGCTGAGCTGATCCGAAGCCAGGAGCCAGGAGTTTCTTCCTGGTCTCACATGTGGGTGTGCAGTCCCAAGGTTTGGGCCATCCTCAATTGCTTTCCCAGGACACAAGCAGGGAGTTAGAAGGGAAATGGAACAGCTGGGACACAAACTGGCACCCATATATAGGATACTGGTACATGCAAAATAAGAACTTTAGCCATTAGGCTATCTCGCCAGGCCCTCAGCATACCCTTAGGGTTCCACTTGGAATGTGTGCATTCCATATCAGAGTGCCTGGGTTCAAGGCCTGGCCATAGTCAGATTCCAGCAAATGCTAGGAGGCAGCACGTGATGGCTCGGATGGCTGGGTTCCTGACAGCCGTTTGGGAAACCTGGTTTGAGTTCTTAGCTCCTGGCTTCAGTGTGGCCCAGCTCTGGCTATTATAGACATTTAGGGAGTAAATGTTTATAATAAGAGGTTTTTTCTCTACCTTCCAGTCTCCACTTTCCTAATTAATAAAGTCAATAAATAAAAATTTTAGGATACACTAAAGTTTCCCTTTGAACAGAGATGCTGTAACCCTCTGTGACCCTACTGGTGGTCAGAGCGCAGTGCTTCCAGCCAGCTCTTCAGTCCCCTGTGCCCAATCTGATCAGGGAGCCAGCGGTAGCCAAGTTTCAGAGGGGATAATAGGAAACACAGTAAACGTGTTCTGAAAAGGATCTGAGAAGATGAGTGGCTAGGCAAAGAAGAAAAAAACTGGAAGGGAAAAAAAATAAGAACAAATTGAAACAATAACTTAGTTTGGATTGATACCTGAAGGTGGCAATAATAACTTCAGAAGGAAAAGCCAGTCCCAAAGTCCGGAACATGGTGCTGTATGTGGGAAAGGATCACTGAGGGTTGAAGTGTGAAACATGATAGCAGAAACTGAAGAATCGGAAGACAAAGAAGCCATCTCAAGACCGGAACAGAACAAGGAACAAAGAGAAAGAAGCAGTGAAGAACGAGCCTCACTGTGAAAGTGATTCAACAAGAGTGTTGAGGGAAGGAAGGATCCTTCTCAAAGCCAGTCAAGGATTTCCTGATGAGAAGGTTTACGACAGTCTCCTGCATAGTTGGGCTTTCCTGCACCACACTCCGTCACCTCTCAGATCCCCCCTGTGCTCCACCTCTGCCCTTTCTCTTTCTCTTTCTCTGTCTCTCTCTCTCTCTCTCTCTAGTTTATTTTTATTGGAGAGGCAGATCAGGTTTATAGAGAGAAGCAGAGACAGAAAGATCATCCATCTGCTTGTTTATTTCTCAAGTGACCGCAACGGCCAGAGCTGAGCTGATCAGGAGCCAGCAGCTTCTTCCAGATCTCCCAAGCAGGTGCTGGGTCCCAACACACAATTTCTAACCAGTACAGGTGTCAAGGGGCATGACCGGAACTTTGTCCAGAAGGGTTTAACACTGTAGGTGCACATTGTGTCCCTCTGACTTCTTCCTCTTGGTCTTAGTGTAGCTCATTTTACTGCACATTATTGCCATTTCCTCATTGCAGTGTAAAACACTGGTGTAATAGTGCTGTTGTTTATCCATGGCCATTCCCAATAATGTAATCCTGAATGTTTTTATGCATTGCTGTTGATCATGCGTGAATGTTTCTGTTATAGGATTTGCTGAATTGTGGATTGTACTTATTTCCAACTCTGGTAGATAGTGGTATATCCATGTACACTCCCTGGCTGTGGAGATCACTGCTTCATGCTCATCAACATTTCCTACTGGCACTTTCATTTCCTTCTTACTGTTTGAGAGAGAAAGCAAGAGTGAGCAAGAGTGAGCAAGCTGGTTTGTTCCCCAAATGCCTGTAGCTGTCTGGACCAAAGCTAGAAGCCAAAGGCAGGAACTCATTGAGGTCTGCTACATGAATAGCAAGGATCCACTGCAAGAAAGCTGCCATTGGGGGCTAGAGCCAGAATAGAAGCCATGTGCTTTTATGTCATATGTGGGCATCTTAACCAAGAGGTTACGTACCTGTGCCTGGTACTCTAGAAAGCATTGAACTTTCTGTCAGCTTACAATGGTTTGTGTCTACTCAACCTCTTTTTTTTTTTTTTTTTAAGATTTTGCTATGATTTTGTTGGTGACTAGAGGAGGGTAGTAGAGAGGTTATCTTTGTTTCCTTTATGTTTTGTTATGGGATGTTTATATTTAGTAAAACATGAATGTGTACCCTACCACCCACCTTCAATGATCCGTTTATGACCAATTTTGCTTTTCTTCTGTATGCCAGCCAGCTACCTACGTACCTCTCATATAAATATATGTTTAATATATGACATATGCATATATTTAAACTCACTGAGAGGCAGAGAGAAAGACAAAAGAGGCAGTGAGAGAGTGCACATGAGTGAGCACGCCAGCAAGGAGCCAGGAACTCAACCTAGGTGTTGTCTGTGTGTGACAGGGACCTTCCTACTTGGGCCTTGTCACCTGCTGCCTCCCAGGGTCTGTGTCATTAGGACACTGGATTGAGGAGTCCGAGCCAGGTGTCAGGCCCGGACTCCAGTATGGGACACAATTCAATGTCTTACTCAGCGTCATAGCTACCTGGCTCAGTGCCCACCTGTACCAAGTTTGCTTGAAGCAAATCTTAGACATCATATCATCTTGTTAGCATGTGTCTGTTGAGATATCCACACTATTGGGAAAGAAAAAGAAACCTTAGCATCATCATAGATGTTCAAATTTTCTGTAATGGTGTTAGTCATCCTGACTTCAGATTTCTGTGATAATCGCTTCTTGGCCTTTTGGCTAAGAGCAAATAAAAATTCCTATAATAGCTTTCTTCTGTTACTGGAATCTCTAGCTTCAAGTGTGTTCTTTTACTTACTTACTTATTTATTTATTTATTTAAATTCATTTGTTGTAGTTGAAAGTCAGAATACAGAGAGAGGGCTAGACTGAAATCTCCTCCCTCTGCTGGCTGACTTTTCCAGTTCTGACTTAAAGGTTAGAACTTGGCCATTCCAAAGCTTGCAGCCAGAAGCTTTTGTGTCTCCCTGGTGGGTGCCCAAGGCCTCGGGACATCCTCTGATGCTTTCTCAGGCCATCAGGCAGGGATACTGGATTGGAAAATGAGGCAGCCAGGATAGTCATCTTTTTTGAGATTAGCAGCTCTGATGATCAATTTCTACATCCCATAGTAATTGGGCCTTTTGCAGTGTATTCTTATTCTGGCTGTTTCTCTCAAACCCACTTTCATCTGACATTTGTTCTACCATTGAACTCAGACTAAACATGTCAAGATCGCTATGACCTGGTGTCTAATCTCAGTGACTCTCAGAGCCTCTTGGGACCTCTACCGCACGACCTGGCTGCTGGGTAACTTTTTTCACTTGGCTGGCTTCCAGAGCTTCCTGGGGTCTGCATAGAGCTCTGTGCATAGCAGTGATTGTGGACTGTCAGTGTGGGCTTCCTTTTAGTACTGTATGGTGGCCCTGGGAGGTGTGGCATACCAGAAGGTAGCAGCTGCTCAGAGGGTCGTACAGTCCTCACTCCCTGGAAGGAGTCTGGCAGGAAGTGGGCAGGCCTGGGAAAGGGACCATCTGTATTTTGGTAAAAGCCTTTTAGTACTATTTGACTTTTTTTAATAATAACTCTTTGATGAAATAAGTGACTAGCTGTTTTAAGTGGACTTGTACTCAGAGTAGTGCTTTTGTCCTGCCGTGGCTCTGCCTGGCAAGCAGGAGCCTGGTGCTGACCCTCGAATGCCCTCCCTCAGACTGCTGTTTTCTGGATTTGTCTCGTCTCTTTCAGAATGGCAGTTCGGAAAACCCTCATTCCTCCTCAGCCTCCTGAAGTGGCTAGTCCTCGAGTGGAGAGCTCCATGCGGAGTACATCCGGGTCACCTAGGCCTGCAGGGTGAGCACACCAATGTTCTTACCACTCCTGCTTCCAGTGACACGTCACTGCTGAGGGAAGAGGCCAGTTCTTTCATGCGCAACTTTCACGTGACGTGAACATGTTTCTTAGCCACCCAACGCCCATTATCCGAGCACACTTATGATATCTACCGCTTAAAAATCTCATGTATTTGAATGAAATATTTAGAGTACTTAGCACAGTACCTACTACAGAATAAACACTTGTTTTATTACAGCTATCAAAGATGGTATTATGAAAGTAATAGAAATTATAAGAATATTTAAAACATAAAGTCAAAATCAGTATCCTGTTCCCCAGTAATCCTGTCAGTTCCACTTCCCAGAACTATTTGGGTTGGTTGCATTTTTTAGTTTGTTTATTTCATAACAAAGTCATGTCTTAATGTTCATTACAGAGGATGTAGAGGATCAAGGCAGAGAGATTGGTTACATTTTTAGTAAGTCCACTCCTTTTTCTGTATACACATGTAGATATTCTTTAAAAACATTATTGAAAACAAGGTCTTGCCAATTAGGTGGTTTTGCATCTTGAACTTGTTACTTGCTGATATCAGTAATAATTTATAATTTAAAATATTTAAATCTGCTTCTTCATAAAACTTGTACGAGAAAGTTCAGATCTGCTTTATGCTGGATTTTAAGACCCACAGAATCCACTCCACTTAAGCACAGAGAAGTAAAATATGAGGAAAGAAGTAATATAAACTGAGTGAGTGTTGAGTAAATGCCCTTTGTAGGCATTTGGAAATGAATTGACATGGGAACTCTCTCAAGTACAACATTCAAAGGAAAAGATAGTTGAATTATTATTTACTCAGTGCACTATAAGCTAAAGCATTAAAACAGAATAGTTGAAATAGTATCTTGTGTATAGTAATTTAGTAATAGTATTATGGCCAGTTGTTTCTCTTTTGTTCATTTGTTTGACAGAGGGAAAGACAGTGAAACATCTTTGATTTGCTGGTGTGTTTCCCAGATAGCCACAAAACCCAAAGCTGCAGCAGTCCAAAATCAGGAGCCAGGAACTCCCTGTTGGTCCCTGACGTGTGTGTAGCAGCCTGAGGCCTTGGTCCATCTGCAGCCTTCTCAGACACGTTAGCAGAAAGCTGCATCAGAAGCAGGGTAGGGCCCGGCACAGTGGCCTAGTGGCTAAAGTCCTCATCTTGACCACACTGGGATCCCATATGGTTCTAAGCCCAGCGGCTCCACTTCCCTGGATACTGGCATCCTGGTCTCCCATGGGGGTAGCAGGAATGGAACGTCCTTATGTTGTTGTGGTCGTGGTGGTGGTTTAAGTAATAACTCATTTTATTCTTGGCAATGTTTACATAGTTGGGAGAGATATGTGCCCCTGTGAACCATCGATTAGGCTGGGGAGGGTTAAGGAAAGGGGGTAAGTGGATGAGACAGCTGCTTTCAGTCTCCTTTTTGCTTCGTGTATCTGGGGGAAGTTGGGGAGAGAAGGGGAGAGGGCTGCTCCCAGCAGCTTGACTGCATCAGTACCCAGGAATGGGAAACAGCTACCCTGTGTCATCCCAGGGTTCCCAGTGTGGAACATGTTCTGAGGGTACTGCTAAGTGGTTTCAGTAGTTCTGAGATGCTCTTGATTTCATTGTTTCGAGTTTGAAGATATCTTCCAAGGTCTGTTTCCCAACTTAGTCCACCTTGGAGTCTTGATTCGCCCAGATACTTATTGTCACAGCTTGACTGGGAGAGCTGTCCAGTTTGTTCTGCCCTCCCTGGTACTAGACGTCTTCTGTAGGCCTCAGTGTGAACTGGTTGTCTTGTTCCCACACCAATCCCAGATCTCATGTGTGCCTGAGGGTGCTAGGCCCTTACCCAGCATATTCTGCCACCCAGTATCAGCCTTTTTGTGTGTGCTGGTGGATGTTGTAGTCCAGCCCACCCCACACCCAATTCTTGGGCATGCGTATGGGTGCTATGGCCTGGACCAGCTAGCCTGTTTCCAACCTCAGTACCCATTGAGTGTTGGTGAGTTCCATGGTCTGCCTAAGTCAGCCTGTCACCACCCCCAGCCCTTGAGGAAACCAGCAGATGACAACAACCTAACCTGGCTTGACCCACACCCTGTGCTGGCTCTTGCTCATTGCTAGTGTGTGCTGTGGACTGGCTCAACCCAGCCTGTCGCCAGACCCAGGCCACACAATACTGAGTGCTGTGTCCTTGCCTGGCCTGGTTCTCCCCCATTCCCAGCTACAATGTTCCCCAGCAGTGGCTGTGGCCCAGCAAAGAAGTTCCCCTACCAGACCCTTTCCTAGTCCCCAATCTTACGTTCACTGATGGATGCTGTGTCAGCAGGTGCTACAGATTGGTCTAGCCTGGCCTCATCCCAGCCCCAACTCCCATGAGTGCCAGATGAGTTCTGTAGTCCTTCCTTGCTCAGCCTTTCACCAACCTCAGCTCACCATGCAAACCAACAGGTGCTATAGTCCCACAGAGCTGAACCCACAAGTCCTGTGTGGAATCTGCCCCCAGATCCGGTTCTCGTTCTGGGAGTGCTGTGTCCAGGCTTGCCCCCAAGCCCCAGCTTTTGCATGCGCCAGAGGGGAGCAGGTGATGCTGCTGAGTTCAGCGCATGTCTCCTACATGGCTGTGTGCCTTGGCCTGACCCGGACATGTTGTCCAGTTTTTCCCCTCTAAACCACTCTGTCTCAGTTCCCTTGCCTGTGAGTGCAGTGGTCCAGTCTGTGGAAACCCATAGAAATTATTCCTTTCCTTTCAAACATGCCCTCAGGTTCTCCGACTCCCAGTATGTCCCCAGACATCCTTTCCTTTGGCAATCTGCAAAATGACCCTCCACCTGCCTGGGGCGTAGCGGGAGTGGGTGTGTGTGTCCCGGCCTGGCATTCCCCACCTTCCCCACATATATCATAGGCAGCTATGCTGACACATTGGTGTAGTTAACACAGCTTTGGCATTAACCAGGCCCAGAATGTCCGCCAACTATTGGCTGCTTTTCTCCCAGCAATGTAACACTTGCCTAGATACAAGGCCTCCCTGGCAATTACCTACAGCTGGGATTAACCTTTTTTTTTTTTAATGACAAAGTAACGTGTAAGCTTCCTTTTACAGTGCTAGAGAAAAATACATAGCTGCTGGAGGTGAAGGGCATACATGAGTGTAAGTCTGTCCCTTTGAGCAGCAGCAGGTGCACAAGCTGGGAAGAGAACAGAGCTATTTGTAGAATCTGACAGTTCCTGTGGATCGGAGGGGTTGTGGAAGCAGAGCCTCACATACATATCCACACTGCCCTTAGTTGCAGCTGTTGGTCTGTTTCTGTGGCGCTTGAAAGAAAGCATTTGGCCTGGGAAAACATAGCTGGACAGCAGCCTCTCCACACTCCCACATCCAATTAAAGGGAATCCCATATCGACGGTGCTTTTATGGTTAGCCCAGTTCATTCACTGATAAGTAATAAAAACACTGCTTTGGGGGTGACTAAGCTTTAAATGTAGGAAGAGAACAACAAAAAATACAATGTTCACAAAGTACACTCAGCAGAAACAAAAGTTGATCTGGACAGATGAAATTTATAAAAAAATAATTCGGGCCTGGTACAATGGCTCAGGGGCTAATTCTGTATTGCATGCACCAGGGTCACATATGGATGCTGGTTTGCTGCACTTGGCATCCAGCTCCCTGCTTGTTTTCTGGGAGAGCAGTGAAGGAAAACCTAAAGCCTTGGGACCCTACACACTCTTGTGGGAAACCCGGAACAGGATCCTGGCTTCGGATTGGCTCAGCTTCAGCCATTGTGGACTTTTGGGAAGTGAACCAGGAAATGGTAAATCATTTTGTCTCTTTCCAGTAAAAATAAATTAATTTTAAAAATAAAAAGAATTTCAGAGAGAAAAACTGGTGTCTGTTGAGTCACTTTCCCAGTGGCTCAGCTGGGCTAGGCCAGTTCAAGAGCCTGGCACTCCTTCCGGATCTCCCACATAGGTGCAGAGTCCCGGGTACCTCAGGCCATCTACTACTGTTTTCTCAGGCACGTTAGCAGAGAGCTGAGTTAGAAGCAGAGCAGCTGGGAGTTGAAGCCAGCTTGCATGTGGGATGCCAGCATCACAGACACAACTTAACTTGCTGCACTACAATGCTTCTTGCACTTCATAGCCAAATTCTAAAATATTGTTTTTAAGCTTCAGAAAGTAGTTAAGCATAAGAAAAATTTTTAAAAAAAACCATGCGAAGCACACTAAATGTAGGCCCCAGATCCTTATAATTGAGGGGAAACAGAACTCAGACATGAATATGGGAGGGAACATTTTGCTTGGTTGGAGCCAAGAACACCATAGACCTCCAACAGAAGCTGGAAGACAGGTGTGACATCATTTCTTCTTCACAACCATCAGCATCTCTGGCTAACACCTTGTTCTTGGACTTCGGGCTCCAGAACTGTAAGACAGTTTTCTATGGAGCCCTTACGGACTGTAAAGGCCTTGTCCAGTGACCTGTCGAAGTGAAACCTTGACAGATGGAATTCACACAGCAGTGTGTACTGCATGTTGAGGCAACTGCTCCAACTAAAGGAATCAAGGAGGTTGTACTCAACCTGCAGTGATAACACTATGTGGTTACATTAGCAGAAACTTCAACCACTCACAAGCACTGACCAACAAGGTCATTCTCCAAGTTAAGTAGTGTTTAGATTTGAAGTTTCCATTTGGTTTTTCTGTTTTTGTTCCTCTTCATGTGAGTTTATAATTGGTTATTGACGTTGCAATTCCTACATCAGTCATGTCTTATTCAAGTTAGTTTTTCCAGTTCTTGCTAGGAGTGGTTGTCTATTTGGAGCTAGACATTTCAAGGCTAACCGTGCTCCGGGTTTGCAGACGCTGTGTTTTCCTAGGCCTCCCTGCAGACTTCCCTGGCAGTGCTGGTGGAAGGAGCAGCCTGGCCTCCCGATAGCCCGGCTCCCCATCTGGCCTCTGTGATGCTGTTGAGGAGTAGGTTTCA